TGATATTCATGGTTTAGACACTTGTTAATTAATTCATCGTAAGCTTTGCGATATTCCAAATTATCATGAACTAGAGCGTAATGATCTACAATCTATTGTTCAAGAAGAAATTTGATTCTGATTTGTTGAATTATCATAGACTTTTGAAAATGTACCTCCTGGTGTTGAGCTGAACCAACGTAAAACTCATTAAATTCCTGTTCATCCAAATTGTTTGCTAAGTCCTTGCATCGTTTTATGCAAGTACCAATGAAAAGAATATCATGTCGGAAACGATGTCTAGGTAAAGACGAATATTTTTCTATGATTCTCCAATTTTCTGATGTCGTATTAGGTACAACTTCAACATAAGATAGACAATATATTCCATTGCCATCAGGGTTGTGATAGAGGCAGGTATCGTAATCATCTAGTTTGAGTATTGATGGCATTTTCAAATATTCTGTCACTAAAAATTAATTCATTATAGATTATAACTTCTCAGCAGACATTTACATTTTTGTAATTTAGTCCTGACTTAAGGATGCATATTTGCAATTGGACTTACTATTAGTTTCCTCGTGGCCTTTGCTGGAAAGAAATAATAAAAAAAATGTTAGCCCAAATAAAATCCGATATGCGGCGATCATGTTTCTTATATAATTGATCCGTCTGATGATTTTAGTTAAACTGAATTGAAGTTTTGATTCTTATTGTATATAAGTTCTAAGCTATTTAATAATGAACATAAGAATATACTGAAGTTAAATTCAATTAACAAATGATTAAATATTTTTTGTCGACATCAAAGGTAATTATTGTCTACTTCATAGGTCATTTTAATATATATAAAAATTAAAATTAATTGATCTATTCATAATCTATATTGGAAAGATTATAAAATTGGTTTAATTTACATAAAAAGTTTATTTTTTAGTTGAACCAATAATAAAGAGTAAATAACTACATTCAAATTATTGGTTTAAAAAAATGACAAATTACAAATTAGTTCCAAAGAAAATCACTGAAAAACTTAGATAAAAAAATGATGAATTTGTTCAAAGTTCTTGTGTAGAAATACTGAGTACAACTATGAATCCTAGGTCTTATTCAACTTAATAACATATATTTTTTTCAAGATGTGCTCAGCTTTCGATTGCTCACGAAATTAAATAGGTCTTCAACTTACCACAGAATATAAGTATTGGAGTTTTGTTAATTTTTTTTCAGTTTTATTTCTTTTCTTATTTTGTTTGTCATCGAACTGTGATTTAAACCCCATTTCATAAGTCATAAATCGATGTCAATGGGCTCAACATTTTGCAAGCTTATAAACCAGGAAACTAAGAAACGTATAACACAAGACAGAACGCTAGATTTTGTGAATGAAATGGGGTAGCACCAAGACTGTAGTCAGATTAGCCTGTATATTCTGGATTGTAATGACCACGGTTATAAAGTGGGATCAAAGAGAGACTAGTTTGTACCTCTGCTTTTGGCAACTGACACAACTGACACATTAATTGATAACTTAACTTTAAGTTGATTGTGTCTACATAATGGGTTTTTGTGATCAAGCTGCTTGTACGTGATATTCTGAATAGCATCCTCGACATGAGTAACGAAGTTGCATTTAACATACAGATCAATACATTGGCAAGCTGTTTCAGTCTATCAGAAAGATATATGCCCATGCCATTAATATGAACTCGCACTAAAAAGCCTTGAAGGATCTCCCATGATCGCGCAGTTAGAAAGAAAAAACAGCTTTGATATTTTATTTATTGACTTATGTATAATACAGACTGTTATAATTCTCTATTAAAATTATGTTATATGCAGTGAGGATAATATTGGCATTACCAAAATAAATATGAATGTACTCGTGAAGCAGAATAAGGTACAGATGAACTTGTTTGAGATAGCCGAAGAAATTAAGACATCTTATTAAAAATTGTTAAAAGATTGTTGGTGCCTTTAAAGATTTATTTGAAAGCTATGTGGTTATCAAGATATTTGTAAGAAATATAAGTTATTCCATATATATGAAAAAATGTATCGAAACAAAACTAATTATCACTGAGAATCATTTATAATGGGACAGTTACGAATAGATAATTTCAGGTGCGTTTCTGCAAAAATGATTTAACCTCGGATAACATCTACATCTTGTCAGGCATTATGCATATATATATTTTGTAGATTTGCACTAATATATATGTTTTATCCAGAAGGGACATCGATGCGAATGGAATGGTACAAAACCCGGGCTTGGGAAAACACTGAAACAAAGCCGGGCTGTATATTCTTCCATTAATATATTTATTCCCTATCTCAATGTACGATCTAAAAGATGGAATATGGATAGAAAAAATAAATATGATTATATTAATGTATACATATATATATAATTTTTTTTTTTTTTAATTTGAAACATTAACAGTAACTAGTCAAATATGGTCAGTGGAAGGAACAGCTGTTTGCATTTAGGAAATTGAGATTTAAAATAACAATATATTCAAAATAATATTATTATGTTATTACCAGCAGTTCAAATGGTTTAATACGTAGTCGTCATCTTGTATGCAGCTGGAGTCTTGCATGACAAGAACCAGCTTAATTAGATATTTCCACAGTTATAGTAGATACATACATTGAGATCGCGGTGAAGGTTGCTGTTTCGAGTGTACGTTTCGAGTGAAAACTTTGAATTACATCTATATTACTTTACTTTACCCCAAAGCCGTGCGCCATACATCCAAACAGACTTAAGTATTTGCTTGAATTTCTATCTGCAAGCCATTGTAGATTCTTCAGTTTTATTTCTAGTTCATCTCTTTTAATTTTAATATGTTCCTTCCACTTAAGCTTGGCGTCTAATGTCATTCCAAGATATTTTACTGTGTTTGAGTATACAATCTTTTTGCCAAATATGGTAATTACTAATCCCGATGTTATTTTGTTCGGGAATTTTATGTGTGTTGATTTAGTGTTCACACTTTGTGATTTTCCATTTTTTTGTCTAATCGGCACTTTTATTTACGGCATTTTGTAGCTGCATCATTGATTCAGCTTTGGTATTTGCAACAGAAAAGATTGCAGTATCATCAGCAGAAGTAGCAATAATTGAGTTCTCTGGCGTAGGAATATTGGAAGTGTCTAGTAGGTACAATACCGGACCAAGTATGCTTCATTGTTGGACGCCTGCTTTTATAGGTTTTAGTCATTCACTCAAGTATGACTCTGAGATGTCACAACAGCCAGTTGGAAGGATAACTCTTATTTTTTAATGAGTCCAACATGTTAGACTTTATCGAACGGTTTAGATACATCAGGGAACATGGTAGAGTAAACTTGTTTATCTCTAAAGTATTTTTCAATTGTAATTGTAATCCTATGAATCTGTTGAATTGTAGAGTGGTTAGTTTTACCCAAATTGATGAGTTGGTAGAAGATTTGGCCTTTCTATGATATGTTTTATTCGTTTCCAAAGTAACACATCAATCATTCATAACATTCAAAGTTTTAATATATGCAGACAATATAATGTGAAATACAAATACTATAAACTTATACATATAAAGAAAGACTACTGTAATTGTAATTGGAATTTAAAAGTCAACTCAATTTAAGAAATCGGTATTCAAGAAAGGATGTAGACAGGCAAACAAAGAAAAAGGTAGTTCAGTGGCGTAGAAACAACAGTACTTAATAATTAGGGTGTTTAAGCAATTCGTACTTTAATCCATTAAATTTCATTATCAACAAAACACTTATGTGAACCCGCGCTTTGTCTTGATAAAAAACACTTTTTTCTTCCGTAAACCGTGTTGTTTAATTATTTTTTCGTTTTGCCTTTTTTAAGATAATCAATCAATAAAATTCTTTTTGCACTCCACAAAACCTTACGTTATAACATTTTTTTAACAATCTTTCTGACTTCTCCTGTTCTTGTTTCAATTAAGGATCGTGATGGCAGATCCAGATCTTATCCATGAGAAATTTATTTTCGATTCAGTTTTTGCTGAATAGTCAACGAATGCGTACTAACTTTTCAAATACCTTTCGAATCTTCACACTTAAGTTTCTTTTAAAATATGGACTATGGTACGAATAGTGTCGTAGACTTTCTCAATGATTTCTGGTGTTGTTGGGCTTTTTGGATGCACATTTCGAAATAAAGGAACGGATCGTTTTAACACATTCAACACTTTTGTATGAATATTTGATACTGGTAAACCTTCTGTAACAAATAATTTTATAACTGCACTATATTTGAATTTTTCCATTGTGACAAAATCACAGATACGTCAGCTTTAAATGGCTTATAAAAAAAGACTGAATTGTTAGATCGAAATAAACATCTGATTGTGTTCAGATGAAAGATGATATGTCACAATGGCGTTTTAATTTTGATTCTTCTACTGGTTAATAGTATTCGCTTTTAAAACTTTTCAGTCAACCTATATTTTTTAGATGTTGCTAAGTGAAGTCACAATAACCTCAGCAGTTTGCCCGATTTTTCTCTCTGATCAAAATCGACATGTAATGCTAAAGCATGTTGGTCAACCATACGATAATAACTTTTTTATCAGAGACAAAAGTTTTATATCAGTTTTTAGTAGGTCTGTGTCAACTAAGATGGTACGATCACGCTCGAAGCCAGCCATCCACATTTTTACTTGCTTGTTAGGGTGAAAACTCGTAGTAAATTTCATCTTATACTTTTTAAATTTACAATGGCATTTATTTTTTAATTATAAATGTTATATTTTATTTAACATTTGAATAAAATACTTTTCGAAAACACTCAAAATACGATAAGTGAAAAAAATTATAGGGTGCAGGAACTTTCAATCATCCTATGTATATAAAGTTCAAATCTACAAAGAAACTTTATCGTATTCACCATTATTTATTTAAAACTTGTGATTAATTACTTAAGTTAGAGATTATATGAAATAAATATATACATGTAACATATATATAAGTTGTTATTTTCAGTAATAGAAAGTAACTTTTTTTTATAAGTTTTAGGATTATATTTTATGGCTTTGAAAGGAAGTCTCCGAAAAACCAAATAACATTAATAATGCAATTTGGTTGGCTAATTAGTTGCATTTGGTCCCGATATGTTCATCCATGATAATAACTTATTTATTTCGATTTCAAGTTTTTTGTTGCCTTCAAAACAAAAATTACTTTATAGTCATTTTTATTACAAACTTCACCACTCACCTTTGGCGGTATTCCTATGAAACTATGAAAAATTTCAGCAATTGGATATTCAAAAACTAAAGTTGTAATGACAGCAACTATATTAGTTAATGAATTTACTAAAAAGGAGTAAAGAAACTATAAGAAAACACAATAAGTTAAAAATAATAATAATAATAAAATTAAGTTTGTTTCCATACTAAAGTCAAGAAGTTTATATATATGGGCTGTCTTTGATAGTTCATAACTATACGCATAACTACTACATGCCATAAGTAGGCTGGATATGATAACCTGGCCTTTGTTTGCATGTAATTTGATGATAAAATATTTCTGATAAATCCTTAAAAGAAATCAAAATATATAAAAATGTATAAATCTATAACGTATAAAGTTGATCTACTAACCACCCAGTTTCATGCTAAAAGCTAACATCACCATAGGCCAGAATAAGAAGATTTTATATTGACTAGTCATCAATTTTAAAAGTCTCATTGTGTAGTTATCGGAATTGTAATCAATATGTAGAAGTATATAAGATATCATAAAACAGATCCAACAACCGAGCACGTATTTGAATACTCTTTTGTAAAACTGACCTTTATTATTGACTTTTAGTTTTAAATATATATCCGCGGATATTATGCCAAGTAGACCGATGTCAATTTTTGTTAAAGCGGATATGACTATTTTTAAAAAAATTTTACCGTCAACTATAAATCCAAGCTGATAACGTCTGCATATATATAAATATATATATTGTATATTGTACATAGTATGTTGTATATATGTGGTTATATAGTTATATTAATGGATTGTATATGATATTATATATAAGACTTGGAAGTGAATAAAATAACTTTCTCTTTGGCAGTTATTTGATACATAATATTTTGATTAATTATATATTAGTAATGTTTATCAAATAAGAAAATATTCAATACATACAACATGGGAAAGCCCGTATAATATTCACACTTATATTTAATCGATAAAACTGCGGGCAGCAGTAGAGAGGCAACGAACAAGATACTATAAATGAGCTTTTTCAGATATGGCTTTCTGAAATTGAAATATAATTAACGCGCAATGCTATTAAAATAATTGAATTATTAACTTTGCAATAACAATTAAAACAATGAGGAAAACAATAAACAGTTGCATATCGGCGCCCAGATACCAGGTTGTGGTTAACGTCTGTAATACAAAAAATTTGATAAAAAATGGAAATCTTACAATGGACTAAACCTTACAGTATCATTAATCGTCAAATTATTAATAAATAATAAATTTTTCCACCAATTAATACGTGCAAATTTATTGTCTCTACCAGCAACATGTTTCCAGGTAGGAGAATCTATTTGATTTCCATAAAATGACGCATTGTATAGAATTATTAATGCATATCCCGGTAGTAGTCTGCAAGCAAAGATATTAAATCATTGGAGGATCTAACTTACCAACATATATAATTGTCAACAGATGGACTTATTACAAATACTTATTTGCAAAAGCCTTACTTTTATTTGCAATGCGCCTTGTATTTTTGTGCTCAAATATGTGCACAAAAGAAAGTCCTCACATATGCGTTTCTTACCTTAAATAGCGATAAATTAGAAATTTCCAAAATACACCAACACAACTTCTCCAACTACTTTTTGGAGTTATAGGGCTCTTCTTCTCAAAACTTATTTTTAATAAAAATGTGCTCATTAAGAAAAACATTCCATTAACTACTCCACCGTTAGCCGAAAATAAATTATTTAATTGATACGTTTCGAAAAAAATTTCATTTGTACTGCCCCTAGTTATTAGACCCATAACAACATGCGCATGAATAACCACGGTATTAAACACCGTTCTAATACCATTTAAAAAATTCAAGTCATCATCTGTACCCCTAGTATTGCTATGGAGTTTAAGGTAGTTTCTTTTAAGTGAGAAGGCAGTTAACAGTCTGTCCTCTAAAATAATTTTGTAAATAAAATATAATGAACTTATAAACTGATCAATATTTTTTTATGAACCTTACGTTTTGTTATAAATTTAGTCGTAAAAAATGCATTTCCGTTGTCTTCAGTTGCACTGAACTTCAAGTAGTAATCATAACCAGTGGAAAAAATGCAGAGACATACAATAGATGCCAGGATTATTAGAAAAATAAAATGGGCGGTGTCTGAAATGAGTGAACTATTAACGTAATGAGGATATTGTAATAATAGTATTACCCCATAATTGTTCTTTGCTACTGTCTATACAATATTCAATATTGGAGCGCAGCTTTAACTCGTACTTATGCTGATATTCATGGTTTAGACACTTGTTAATTAATTCATCGTAAGCTTTGCGATATTCCAAATTATCATGAACTAGAGCGTAATGATCTACAATCTATTGTTCAAGAAGAAATTTGATTCTGTTTTATTGAATTATCATAGACTTTTGAAAATATACCTCCTGGTGTTGAGCTGAACCAACGTAAAACTCATTAAATTCCTGTTCATCCAAATTGTTTGCTAAGTCCTTGCATCGTTTTATGCAAGTACCAATGAAAAGAATATCATGTCGGAAACGATGTCTAGGTAAAGACGAATATTTTTCTATGATTCTCCAATTTTCTGATGTCGTATTAGGTACAACTTCAACATAAGATAGACAATATATTCCATTGCCATCAGGGTTGTGATAGAGGCAGGTATCGTAATCATCTAGTTTGAGTATTGATGGCATTTTCACATATTCTGTCACTAAAAATTAATTCATTATAGATTATAACTTCTCAGTAGACATTTACATTTTTGTAATTTAGTCCTGACTTAAGATTTCATATTTGCAATTGGACTTACTATTAGTTTCCTCGTAGCCTTTGGTGGAAAGAAATAATAAAAAAAATATCAGTCCAAATAAAATCCGATATGCGGTATTCATGTTTCTTAAATGATGAACGTATCTATTGGCTTCATGAAAACATTTGAATTTTCAATGATATCTTTTATAAGTTTATAAACAAACTAAAAATTACTTATTTATTTTTTCTGTTATAATTAAGATATTAAACGTAATTTAATAACCAATTAAATTTAGATAAAAAATAATTCTACATAATAAATAATTAATTGATATTAGTTGTATAATAAAGGTTATTAGTTTAATAAGGAGATAATTATATGCGTATATATAATTTTAAGATAATTTTAATAATTATTCTATGAGTGTTAGAAAGAGATTTAGCACCTTATATGCATATACGTATTAGCTGTTATATTATATTAAACCTCTACTAACTAGGGGATATAAATAAACCATTTTTTGAAAGTGTGTGGAATATGGAAATTTCAAATTATGAAGTTAATTCCATCTCATCTTATCAAAATTATTTACTAATAAATTTTTGTATATTTCTGTTTTATAACTGCTTGAAAAAAAGTCGTGGACTCTATAAAGTATATACATATATTTTTGATCAGCTTCATGAGTTGGGTTCACTTAGCATGAAGCATGTTTGTCTGTTTCAGATCAAACTAGACTTTCAGTTTTTGAGCAATTTGAATATTCCTTGGCACACCTAGTTTTTGAGAAACGCCTTTATCATTTGGACCACTATATCCTATAGCAGCATTTTATATTACTCTGTAACTAAAAACCTAATACATGTTATAATCATATAAGGAAACATACAAAATTGTTACATATCGGTTCAGATTTAATATATTTGCCAAAGAAGCAGAAGCAAATTTTTTATTCGTATACTTCAAATTTGGACCTTAACCATAGTTTATAAAATTGAACCCTTGTTAAATTGGGTTAATCGGCTAAGATTTAGGTATCGTTCGCATATATACCGATGCGAAAACATGTTAATTTTTCAATGTATTGGATTTTAATATAGAACTTATGCTTCTGCTATAGAAGAGAATATTCCTGGCAAGAATGATATTGATCGGTTCAGATTTGGATATAATTGCCTTTCGAACTGGTACTGCAATTTCATCTTATTCATATTATTGTTATTGACTTAACTTATGTTGTTTTGACTTAATAATAAAAAGATAAGTTCAGTTACTACCAAAATTAAGATATCTTAAAGGCTTTCTATTGATTCCTGTATATAAGATATATAACCTTTGCCAACGTCTTTATTTGCTTTTTACATAATTCCATAATTTTTATTGATTTCATATCATATATTAAGTAATATGGGTTCTTCATAAAGATTTGTTCACAAACACTGTTTACATTTATATATTCTCTGCGGTACACGTCTTCTAAAACTTACTCCCGTCATACAACTGACTTATTTGTTTCAGTTACAAACTGCTTTTTATAATATTTAAGAGGCTTAGATAATCCGAGGTTTTATATAGGAACTTTTAATCCTCTTAATTGTAAATAAAAACATTTAATAATATGTACATCATAACACAAGAAAATGTAGTTTTATTTTTTAAGAAAATTGGTAGCCTTAAATGCAAAATATGTTTGCCATAATAAAAATCTATTAGAATATTGTATATTTTCTTTAAAACATAGATTTAACTCATTGTATTAATCTTGATGACTTGTAACCGGACTCTTGTTATTTCTTCTGCCAAAGTTATCTGATTGAAATAAAATATTTTTAATTGCAAATGAAGAACAATGTCTGAGATATGTGATCTTCTTATATACCTTTACTTTTCCGACATAGGCAATTAACTATTTCTGTGCTAGGATATTCTACAAAAATTGTCATAAAAAATGCAATCAAATTTGTTATTAAAAGTGAAAGTATGACAAAATAGACCTAGAATGAAAAAAAAAATTATTTATAATAATGTTTCTGAGTTTCTTCTTTAACTTACCAAAATGGGTGTATTTAAGTACATGGGTTGACGGTAATAGCTGAGTAGTAGGTGCAGAGCAAGAACGTGCCACAAAAATGCTTGATAAGATATATTAGCCAAAGGTTGCAAAATCGATGAGGAAAGCAAATCATATAATATACCTTTTAAAACATATATTTTCTGTACTATATTTCTTCAAAAAATGTAAAAAAATGTTTTACCTCCTAGCTTATAGCAAGTACTAATTAAAATCAGACAGCAAAACAAAGCCCATACGTTTTTATATAGACCCGCATACAAACCCAACCACAAAGAGGATTTGTTCGTTAAATTAACACCCACAAATGGAAATGAAATGAGAGTTATGAACAGTGTCAACCAACAAAGTTCAGTCCACCAAACACCGCGATAAGATTTACTCTGCATATGGTTCTGAAGTTTCATATAGATCTCTGCTGTAATAATACCTAATATATATGCGCCCAAGTGAGTGTAGAATGGTATATGGATTTCGTAGAAAGTTTTTACACCTTTGAAGAACATGTAACGATATATTCTAGTAAAGTTAATTAATTATTAAAAACATTATTATTATTTTAAAACATATATTAGCACAAAGTATTATTTTAAAAGATGGACTACTTACTCAGGGTTTATGCGCATAATGGGATCAATGTTTTTGTGGTAGACTATAAAGGCAGGTATTGCTATTGCGGAGATGAGCAGCAAAGTGTAAATAATTTTTTTCATTTTTGGATATCTAAAGTATAATAAATTTATATATCGCGGGCATGTGTGGACCCGAAATGTTTAATCTTAAACTTTATAGATTAATCATAATATTTACCTGGCATTGAAAATTAGCACAAAGAGAAATATTGCAAATAATTGAGTATCTGCTGATATATACCAGGAGTGCTGAGTGCACTGTAATTAAAAAGTACATATAGAATAATTATTTAAATTACACATAATTAATTAAAAAAAAAAATTATTATTACTTTATTGTAATGTTAATTACTAGTTGAATTACCATGCATTATACATAATGCCACATATTGCTAGAAGAATACTTAGAATATAACATATATTTTTTGATAAGACTAATAGACCAATGCACTTGCCCTTCTTCAAAATTCAGTGCTGTTGGAATCAAAACTAGTAACTTTTTTTTTGTTTTACGATTATATTATCAACATAAATGTGTCTTTACTATTATTAAAAATAATTATTAATTATTAATAATACCAAGGTTTTATACTAAGCAATATGAAGGTGAAAAAAAAAATTATTATCGTACATATGTACTTGTACATATAAAATAATATGTTATAAGATGCTTAGAAACAGAATACATACGAAATGTTGTCTCCCACTGGAGCGGAACACTGCGATTTATAATAGCAGATTTTTTGTGTTGTTATCAGACCCTAACTTAACAGAAAACATCCAACCTTCGAACAAAGACCAAACTGCCAGCAATTGAGGACATCTTATTTCGTCCCGTCCCAGATTAAAATGAATATGACTAAAGGTGTCAACTGCCTTTAAGGAGCCTTGATATTCTGGTTTTGGAATTTAAAATTTTATATAAGACAGTTTTAGATTGAAAGACACTTTGGATTTTGCTGACCAGCGCGATTTTAGTTAATTCGCCTTTAGAGCAGGCATGTAGAGTGGAATATAAAGGGAGACTACGCTCTAATTTACTGATGGTTTTTTGTCTTATCTCTGTCAAAGATCAGATCAGATAGTGTTAATTTCCAATGCGTGAAAATAGTAGTTCTCCTATCAATGAACTGTGACGTCGTTGCTTCAGTGACGAAGCTAGGAAAGTGTTTCTACAGAAAAAATTCGAGAATGTCTTTACGACCAATTCCAAAGGAACTATCGAATATTTTTACAATGCCTGCTTCAAGCCTTGTGAAACTTACCTGTTTCACAAGATACAACAAGATAGTTCTTTGAATGCAAATAAATGATACAGTAGGTAAAAAGAATATTACAATTAGAACAATTTTCTATAGTGTGTAATAAAAAATGAATTGAATAATTGTTTAATAATATCATTAGTGACTATTCACGTCTCAAGTTTACTAATTGCTGTTTAGTAACTGTTTTACTATAGATACCAGTATATCAGTATATCACAAGCATTTAAAATGTTTATTTTTTGAAATAAAGTAGATTTAGTCCGAACAAAAACAGAAAATAGAAATGCAAAATATGCATTATATGTCTTGTAGTCCGGATCTACCACTGATTTGAGAATCCGGATAATGTGTTAAGAGTTTGTCTGCTCGATAATCTAGTGAAATAAATTATATGTATGGCATTAATTTATATTAATGCAAGAATACAAAATACAAATATAGTTAATGTATCGTTAATGTATTTAAATATACACTTGATAAATTTTAGATACTTACACTTTTGTCCATTGTCAGATTGTTGACGAAAAAAATATTTTTCCACCAGTTCTGACGGCAAAAAATGCGTTCTGCTTCCGTTAGATGGCGCCAGAATGGACCGTTGTGAAGACGTGGCATCAATGTAGCATTGAAAAGTAAAACAAGCGCCAATGTGGGAACTAAGCTACAAAATAAATTTGTAAAGAGTGCATTTTCTATATAAATCATACGTAGGTCAATATATAATATATATTTTTTTGTTAGTAATTTATAATAAACAATGCTTTTCCTTTTAATTTACCGTAAATATCGATATATGAAGATTTTGAAGTATGCTTTAACACACTCTTTGAAACCGCTATTAGGTGTTATAGGATTCCTTTTATTGAAGAGTAGTGTTAAAAGAAATGAGCTCATGATGAAGAAAATTTGCACTATTACAGCAGTATAGTTTTCAAGGAAAGATGTTTTTTCGTAATGTATAAAATTTTCCACAAATTCTGTATTGGAAACCTGTACACTCATAAAATATCCAGCAGTGTGACCAAATATTATGACAAACTCCGGTATTACGCGAGCAAAGTTCAGAAACTTCAAGTCGTTTGCAGTCTTTCCAGTTGGGCTTGCAGTGAGTCGTTTGAAATTGCGACACACTGAGAATGAAGTTAGATATCGCTGAGCTAATATTTGATAAAAGAAATTGTATGGTTTAGAATTAATATTTAAAACCGTTTAAAAATGTGTATTGTAAATTAGTTACCAGTAGAAGTGAGTTCGGTTTCGTAAAAGAACTGCTGCTTTTCAGTCGCAGCTTTTGCCTTCAACTGAGAGTCGTAAATTGTGCTCATTACACTGAAAAGAGCAATGCTTAGAAATATAAAGTATAGTGTATAATCCAGTGCATCTAATTAAACCGTAACAATATTAATTATACGTGCTTTAATAATTGTGTATTTTAATCACCTTTATCTATTGCCTCATCGCTGCTCTGACAATATTCAATGTTTGTTTTTATTTGCAGTTGGTATTTCTGTTGGAATTCGTAGTTCAAACAGACGTTTAAGATAACCTCATATTGCTGTCGTTCCTTAGTCGAACGTATGTGCACATTGTCGTAATACTCCTTGAGCTATAGGACAAATAGATTATTTTTTAGGTGTTTCTATTACTAACTTAAGTTGCACTCACAGCTGCGTCGTCAGTTGGGCCACTGTTGAAAACTTGCCGTTGAGATATATTAAAGCCGTGCCATACACTTTCACAGCGTTCTACACAAACGCCCATAAAGAGCCGGTCGTGTCGATATCTTTGCATGAAGTCTACAGAAAAATGTTCAACCCTTTGCCATGCCTTGGAAAATGGATCCGGTACTATTTCTGCATAAACTACGCAGTAAGTTTTCGTTGGCTTATTTGAATAATGTAGGCAGGCGTCGTAGTCATCCAATTGATAGAGCGGCGGCATTTGCAAATACTCCGACACTGTATTGTGTTTTTAGGATTACAAGAGTGAATACATTCAGTTTTGTATATTTACTTACTATTAAATGGATATTGACTTTTGGCATTTCTTAAACAAACAAAGCAAAAAAAGAGAGTTAATAAGCATTTCATCTCGAATACTTAACCACTGTTACTATGTTTAATCGAATCAAATATTTAAGAGCTACTAAAATACTTTTTAGCGATTCGTGTTTATTTATTAAAATTTTATTTTGGTTACTTTTGATCAATTAAATTGAATTTGCAGCGTAAATATCAATCTTATTTACTCTACGTTTGGCTGTTTCTGTTAATTTTATGTTAGATGAGTAAAAATCTTAACTAGTTTTAAGACTCGAAATTGCACCGCTGCAATGATTTTTCTAATTCAGATTATTTTCGTTTCAATAACAACTTCTAATAATTTAAATAGATATTAAGTCTTTTGAACCGCGTCATTTAACTCTAATTTTAATGATATTTGAAAAAAACCGTACAATAAATAGACATTCTAAATATGTTAAGATCATTATTTAATCAAATCGTTTGTTCATCTTCATACTTAAACTAATTGATATAATATATAATATAAATATATGAACACAAGGTATGCAAATTTTAATTAGTATTTCCAAAGCGCAAATTTTTATACCGCACAACTGTATGAAGTATACCAGTGGCTTATTAGCTAATACAATATATTAAATTCCATTAATTCTTTTTGTTATTATAAATTTTGGATTTTTCTAAAAACATGTTTTTTATTTAATTATCTTTATTAAATTACACACAGATACATTACTTAATTTCTAAATAAATTTCGTAATACACGCACAAACCATTCTATATACATATAAATACATATAAATAAATACATATAAATATATAGCAATTAAAATATATAAATAATATAACTACCATTCTTGAAAAATCATTTTAGATAAAAAAAAAATAAAACTGAAAAAAGAGTCACTGAATCGCTTGGACATCCGTACTATGAATAGATATTTTTGATTTATAAATGCAAACACAAAGTAAGTACTAAGAATGCGAAGATCTTCATTTGTTACTTGTTCGATATTTTCTACTGCCTCGTAGAAGAAATAATATTTATTCTGCATTTTTATTTATACCTCAAAATACACACAAATCTAATATATAAATTATACGGTAAGCTTGCATATGTTAACTACAGAATTATGTTAAGTTAACATCATATTCTAATAACAAATTGTACAAAATAACATGAAAAAATATTGAAGTTTTTAAACATTTCTTTATGCTTTCCTCCTATACGGTTTTTGAAAAAAAATACTAAAAATTATTGCAAATGGATATTCTACGAAGAGTACAGCAAAAAACCCTATAACATTTGAATACACAATTGCAGAAAAAAGAATTTTAGCCTGCAAATATATATTAAATTTGAAGTAACTAATTCTTTATAATTTAATTTATTCAGTACTTACAATACTTAAGTAAGACAAATGCAAAAAATTTCGTTCCGAGCCGAATATGTAGCGGATAACAACAAAATGCCAGATATAAACTTGAAAAGATATTTTCGCAAGTAGTTGGATTATGGGCAGACGATAGAATTTGTATGCTGCAAGTGATCAAATAGTAGCTATTTTAAACATATAATACCAAATCTTACCACCAATTTTAAAGCACAATCCAAGCACAACTATAGCAAAAACCACAGTCCAACCATTTCGAAACAGCCCCAAATATAAGGACAATGCAACGGATGGTAACTCATATTCCTTGTTTACAAACATTGCACCTAAATAAATGGAAGTAGGAAGTAATAGAAACAAAGCCCACCAAAGAAGATTAGGTAGCTTTCTTTGCTTCTCTGTTCGGAAGTCACGCCATCGTACATACAATTCCGCACTTATGATGCCAAAAATGAATCCACTGATATTCGTATAAAATGGAGTGTATATGTTGAGAAAAGTAATTTCGTCTCTATAGTATGAATAGCGGTAATTTCTAAAATGAATTTAAAAGGTTATATACCACTTAAGAATGACAAATTTTATTAATGTGTTAATTGAATGCTTACTCAGGTGCAAACGATAGGACTCCTTCTAGCTTTAATACATAATTTATGATGATTGGAATAATCGTTGAAAAAAGGATCAATAGTGAATATACTGCTTTTTTCAATTTTGGAAATCTATTAAAAGTTTTGAAAAGCTGTCAAAACTACAATTTTAAATGTATGTTATTAAGAGTACCTCGCATTCAACATTAGTATAATTAAGAAGATAATATACAGTTGCATATCAGTTCTAGCATACCAAATATGAACCCCGCACTTTAATTAGAAAATTGTTTTAGATTAATGGGATAAGTTCTATACAACGAAACTTACAATTTTTTCTGAAAAAAACTTGTTAATTAACAATAAGTTTTTCCATATATTTTCTCTGCAGGCGACTCTTTCCGTTTCAGTGACATAACGCCAGAGAGGACCATTATATAAATTGGGAATCACAGTGGCATTTAAAATAGTATACAATGCGATTGTTGGTATTAAACTAAAATTAATTCATTATTTTGGTGTCTTATAATACAATTTTTATACTTAACCGAAGGTATCTTTTAATTGTTTCATTGAAGAAAAAACTTATATAATCTCTAGAAGAAGATTTTTCTGTGAGCTTCGAAGATTTTAAAAATCGTATAGTCATCAAAAAAGCGCTCATAAAAAAAAACATTTGCATATTAATTGCACCATTTCCCAATATTGCATGTAAACCATTAAATATATTCTCTTCCACAAATTTTGGATTACCAACAACTGTCATAATATTCAGTACTATATGTGCTATAATAATAGTAATTTCTCCGATTAAGCGGAAAAAGTTAAAACATTGCAAATCGTGAGCAGTTCTTCCTCCTAAAGGTTTCATGAAGATGGCATAATTTCGCATTATTGAGAACGAAGTCAAGAGAGTACTGGCTGGAAATAAAAATAAATAATTTTACTGAAAAGTGTGAGGTTTTATCTATCAATATTAATATATCTTAACTCCTATTGAATCCTTTACATTTTTATAAAGACTGAATATATAACAATAATTATACCACTAAAGAGATGTCGTTATTGATCATAATATGCTTTAATACTATGATTAAATTACCATTTGCAGAACGAGAAAACAAATATTATTGGTAAATAATTAATAAGAAGGTTTTTCATACCTTTAGATTTAAATGGTTTGCGATAAAAATGAAACCATTTTTCTGAGGTTTGATTCTTAAACAGAAAATGGTCGTATACGGATGAAAATATGACGAAAATTCCAATACTAGATATCAAAGTATATCCCAATATATCCAAGTAATCTGAAAAAATGGAAAAGAATTTAATCAGAGTAAGAAAGTATAGCATTCAATTTATGAACGTAATTACCATATCTATTTGTTGTGTTTGATTTGCTGTGTTCACAATAAAGTAAATTTGTTCGGAGTCTCAAGTTATAGTTTTTATGCATTTCCCTATTAAGACAAGTGTGAATTACAGAATCATAACCGATGTTTTCATATATTTGATATCCATAAATCTGTCTAAAGAAATTCAAAAGCTATGGGAGAATATTTTTAAGTGGGTTTATTTTTTTCCTCTTAACATAACTTTTATGAACTCACCTCCTTGTCTTCAATTGGTTCATTAGTTGATATATCTACGTGGCTTTCTTCTTTTGGAGAGTCCATGCACTTCGCCAAACAAACACCGCGAAGTAATTTATCATATCTGAATCGATTTCTTTCAGTTCTAGAATGTTCTTCGATTGTCCTCCAGATTTCTGAGGAAGCATTTGGCTTTATTTCGGCATAAATGAAACAAAATGTGCCAGATGTGTTCTGTGTATTTTGGTATAAACAATCATCATAATCATCAATGGCGTTTATGGGTGGAATTTGATTGTACAGATAATCTAAAATTTCATAAAAGTTTCAAGAATTATAAAATAGTGAACAAAAATAGTTTTAATTTAAATTGCGAGACAAAAGTAAAATTTATAGGAAGTATACACATATGTCTCGACCACATTTTTCACTTATTATTATGTTAATAATTTAAGAACTCAGGCAATTTATAGTTAAACTGACCATCAGAATGCTTTTTACACATGCCAGAATTAAAATATAAAAGAAAAATAGTAGTTTTTAGAAAAGTTTTCATAGTTTATCACAATTAAAATAAAATGATCTTGGAGTTGAAGTATGACTGGAGTTCAAAACATATATGAGTTCTATTTATATGAAAATTTCAATAATATTATTAGTGTTATTATTGCAAATAACCACTTTTCACTCGTGTAATTTGAGTGCATTTGTAAAAAAGATGACATTGTATATGCATACACATATATGTTACATAGAATATATAAAACCATTAACTCATTTACAATAAATCAAACCCATTTGATATTTCTGTGGAATCAATGAAAGAATATAGTTCCACAGCATACTTTTAAGCTGAACGTTGTAAGGCTGTTGTTAACAGATAATAACATTCATCCATGCATTCCAATAGCTGAGTCATTTACTAAATATTTACTAATATTTTTTTACATATTTCATATCCGGCTACAGGTCACTTTTTTTTATTGCACATTTTCCAGTGCAATATAAACAACAGAACCAAAATATAGATTGATATAGATGATATATGAATATAGATTTTATTAATATTAATGGATGTTTTAATTTTAGTGTTCTGATCCTGATGATAACTGTAAATGAAAGCCGAAATATAGAACATATTAAAATATATTAAACATAAATTATTAATTAAAAAAAACATTTTTTAAAATTGCTAACTGACAATAATACCATAAATTCTAACTTAGAAATGCACTTGGAGTGCTCAATGAAAAATTATGGTCTAAAATTTTCATTGCTTAGCCTGGTAAAATCTGGACGTGGTGGCTTCACCATTGACTAAATATTCGCACTTAGATAAATTCTGGAAAAAGCGCATGAACATAATATCGACACCTATGTATAACTTTTCTATCGATTATTAAGCGGTTATAGATAGCCCCATAAAGAATCACGTTTACGTTGCATTATCTGAGCTCGATATTCTTGCAAGTCTAATAAGCCTCTCCGGTATAATGTTAAACAGTATTCACAGCTCCATCAAGGTTGTATAAAGTTTCCTAAACTTTTCGAACCATGTGAGTTTCAGACACACTGTTCCTTATTATGTGATCTCTTCAATTTCAACATAAAAGTGATCATGCGCATTAACCGTGTTCAGTTCTGTCTAGCTTAGGCTGACAATATTCAGCCCAAAGTTCTAAACTAAGCTTCTATAGGTTCAATATGTGATTCTGATGTAGAGCTCTTAAAATAAATAAAACTGTCGGTCGATAGCTCGTTCAGTCTATCAGTGCTTATATAAGACGCTATCGTATCACACAGTGATGAAGCAATGATCAAATTGAGGAAGCACTAATCGCCAGCGCCAGTCCGAAACCTGATAATAGGTTGTTACGATTTTATATATAATTTCAAAATTTTGTCGAAATTTTTTTTTAATTAAAGGATTCTTTTCTAATAAATTATGTATTGAAAATCTTAATTGGAATATATGTATGTATCTGTAGCCAAATCGGAAACAATTTAATTGAAAAATTAAATGAATGTGATATTTTTTGTAATATATTGTTTGGCGAATATTAATTTAATCACTTAAAGAACAAGAAAGCAAAATAAATGAAAATCAGTTTATATGGCAAAGAACAGAGTAACTGTCAAGATTTGCCTGATATACGCTTACTGACACAACCGGTTTACTTACTGATGAGACACTGTGTCATTGGTAAGCACACCGACCCATTAGTGGCTCCCTTCAACGACTACTGTCGTAGCTGCGTGTCAGAAAAGGTGAAGGAAACTTTTGCCTATTTGCTCTGTCTTTGTCCAACACTCGTTAGAAAGCACATATAAACCCTACGGACTTCTATTCTGATATGTCCGTCTAATATCGCTAGCATGAAAATTAAAAACATTGTCTGTTTCAAGTCAAGTCGTTTTTGTTTTTCAAGAATTTTAATTTTGATTATTTCGAGCATTATTTTTAGTATATTTCTATACGTATTTCGGCAAATTCGGTTTTGTCTTCATCAGGAGAATTCCTTATTACAGGTTTTATATTTAATTTTAATTGTTAGGGTATTTTTGTTTATGATCTTTATGGTGACAGGCTGGTGACGGGATGGGCCCGGTTTTGTTTGTTTGTTGTTCAGACTTGATTATGTACAGGTAGTTGGTGAACTGGTATTTTGGTTGGGTTTGTTTTTAGAATGTATTTAAAAAGCAACGTATCATTATGCATTGCTCTTATTGCCGTTAAGTAGAGGTGCGAAAAATACACGGGAAATTGGTGTGCTGGTCCTGTATAAGGTTGTCATGGAAGAGTTATTTATATATGTATTCTTAAACCTAAGTGAATCCATTTATTTAATACTATGAGCTGCCACTTGTAACTTACCTTACTTTTCGAGGTACATTTGTATAAATGTTCAATGCTCATTTTCAAAGAGTCTATGTATTCAGCAAATGGACTTCGTAGTTATAGTTCGTAAACTGGGAAATTTTTTATGTTAAAATGGGTGAAAAGATAAGCAACCAGAAAGATGGATATCATTTATTTGATTTTTTATTTCATGCTGTCGTGCTTATCATAAACATCTTAACATTTTTCATATTATATATGGGAATCATATATTAAAAATAATAATAAATATGGATTTATATAAATTAAATTATAATGAAAAATGGTAAATTAATATGTCTTATACATATATCGTAGTATACATAACTTGACCTTTTTTAATGATGTGTTAATATATTTATGTAACTGTTTAATAATTTGTAAATATCTTACACGTATATGCTATAATATAATATTAACATTTTTAAAAACATTATCCATTGGCCATTGAATCCCTAGCATCAATATATATTTCTAGAAACAAACAATTTAAAAATCATTCTTCCGGTATTTCTAGTTCCATATTTTCTGCGCCCTTTGATTTTTAAACATTTTCAATATGTTGGCACAATACACGCTTTAATCTCTGAAATTCATATGCGTATGTTATGTTAGTAACATGATTATGTTAAGTTAATTTACGCTTGCATATTACATTTCGAAGTTAAAATGATCCCTAAAACAGAATAATTCAACCATTAAACGAGAATATAATTCTTACAATAGAGTTTCATAAATATGACAGAAATATTTTAGAGAAGTTACAGATTATGCAGTGCTTTAAGTATTTTTATTTGGATGAGTAAGAGCATAAGTAATTATGGTGAATGGATATTCCACAAAGAGCACAGCAAAAAACCCTATAATATTTGAATACAAAATTGCAGAGAGTATGATTTTAGCCTATAAAATATATTTTTAAGTTAATATAATTATTTCTTAATTTATTTGATTTGTTGACACTTACGATATTGAAGGAAGTCATATGCAGAAAATTTCGTTCTGAGCCGAATATATGGCGGATAACAACAAAATGCCAGATATAAACTTGAAAAGATATTTTCGCAAGTAGTTGGATTATGGGCAGACGACAGAATTTGTATGCTGCAATTAGTCAAATAGTAGCTATGTTAAACATATAATATAAAATCTTACCACCAATTTTAAAGCACAAGCCAAGAACAACTATAGCAAAAACCACAGTCCAACCATTTCGAAACAGCCCCAAATATAAGGACAATGCAACGGATGGTAACTCATATTCCTTGTTTACAAACTTTCCACCTAAATAAATGGAAATAGGAAGTAATAGAAACAAAGCCCACCAAAAAAGATTAGGTAGCTTTCTTTGCTCCTCTGTTCGGAAGTCACGCCATCGTACATACAATTCCGCACTTATGATGCCAAAAATGAATCCACTGATGTTCGTATAAAATGGAGTGTATATGTTGAGAAAAGTAATTTCGTCTCTATAGTATGAATACCGATAAGTTCTAAAATAAATTTTAAACATATTGTACCAAAATACTTCTAATTTTAATCATGTGAGAAGTTTACACTTACTCTGGTGTAAATGACATCACTCCTCTCAGTTTTAACACATAATTTAAAATAATTGGTATAACCGTTGAAAGAATAATAATTATTGAGTATACCGCTTTCTTCAATTTTGGATATCTGTTTATAGTTGTGAAAATATTGTAAAATGACTGGTTTAAAATATTTATTGCGGGGTATACCTTGCATTTAGTATCAGTATTATTAAAAACACAATGTACAGTTGCATATCAGTTTTAGCATACCATATATGACCTCCGCACTTCAATTACAGAAAATTTTAAAGATTAATGGAATAAATTCTTTACAACGAAACTTACAATTTTTTCTAAAGAAAAATTGTTAATTAACAATAAGTTTTTCCATATATTTTCTCTGCAGGCGACTCTTTCCGTTTCAGTGACATAACGCCAGAGAGGACCATTATATAAATTGGGAAACACAGTGGCATTTAAAATAGTATACAATGCGATTGTTGGTATTAAACTAAAATTAATTCATTATTTTGGTTGTGTTGCAGTGTATATTCAATATACCTAACCGAAAGTATCTCTCTGCAACTTCTTTGATAAAGACGCTTATACAATCTTTAGTAGAAGATTTTTCTGTGACCTTCGAAGATTTTAAAAATCGTATAGTCATCAAAAAAGCGCTCATAAAAAAAAACATCTGCATTATGACTGAAGTATTCATCAATACGGTATGAAAACCATTAAATATATTCTCTTCCACAAATTTTGGATTTCTAACAATTAATGTAATATTAAAGAATACATGAGAAATTACAACAGTAATTGCTCCGATTAAGCGGAAAAAGTTAAAACATTGCAAGTCGTCAGCAGTTCTTCCTCCTAAAGGTTTCATGAAGATGGTATAATTTCGCATTATTGAGAACGAAGTCAAGAGAGTACTGGCTGGAAATAAAAATAAATAATTTTACTGAAAAGTGTGAGGTTTTATCTATTAATATTAATATATCTTAACTCCTATTGAATCCTTTACATTTTTATAAAGACAGAATAAAGACAGAATCACAATGTTTATACCACTAAAGAGACGTCGTTATTGATCATAATATGCTTTAATACTATGATTAAATTACCATTTGCAGAACGAGAAAACAAATATTATTCGTATTAATAAGAAGGTTTTTCATACCTTTAGATTTAAATGGTTTGCGATAAAAATGAAACCATTTTTCTGAGGTTTGATTCTTAAACAGAAAATGGTCGTATACGGATGAAAATATAACGAAAATTCCAATACTAGATATCAAAGTATATCCCAATATATCCAAGTAATCTGAAAAAATGGAAAAGAATTTAATCAGAGAAAGAAAGTATAACATTCAATTTATGAACGTAATTACCATATCTATTTGTTGTGTTTGATTTGCTGTGTTCACAATAAAGTAAATTTGTTCGGAGTCTCAAGTTATAGTTTTTATGCATTTCCCTATTAAGACAAGTGTGAATTAGAGAATCATAACTGATGTTTTCATATATTTGATATCTATAAATCTGTCTAAAGAAATTCAAAAGCTGTGGGAGAATATTTTTAAGTGGGTTTATTTTTTTGCTCTTAACATAACTTTTATGAACTCACCTCCTTGTCTTCAATTGGTTCATTAGTTGATATATCTACGTGGCTTTCTTCTTTTGGAGAGTCCATGCACTTCGCCAAACAAACACCGCGAAGTAATTTATCATATCTGAATCGAGTTCTTTCAGTTCTAGAACGTTCTTCGATTGTCCTCCAGATTTCTGAGGAAGCATTTGGCTTTATTTCGGCATAAATGAAACAAAATGTGCCAGATGTGTTCTGTGTATTTTGGTATAAACAATCATCATAATCATCAATGGCGTTTATGGGTGGAATTTGATTGTACATATAATCTAAAATTTCATAAAAGTTTCGAGAATTATAAAATAGTGAACAAAAATAGATTTAATTTAAATTGCGAGACAAAAGTAAAATTTATAGAAGTATACACATATGTCTCGACCACATTTTTCACTTCTTAAGAGATAATAATTTTCATATAAAGTCACTTTCTAATTATTATTATGTTAATAATTTAACAACTCAGGCAATTTATAGTTAAACTGACCATCAGAATGCTTTTTACACACGCCATAATTAAAAAATATAAGACAAATTGTAATTTCGAGAATAATTTTCATATTCTATGACAATCAAACTAAAATCGTCTTGGAGTTGAAGTATGACTGGAGTTCAAAACATATATGAGTTCTATTTATAAGAAAATTTTATTAAGTTTATTGTTATTAAAATTGTTATTAACACCTCATATAATTTTAAAGCATTCATATAATTCGCACTCATATAATTTTAAAGCATTTGCAAAAACGATAAGAAGTCAATTATTTTTGTTCAAAATTACTTCATAATTACGTTAATGTACTTATTTTTTTTAAATATATATAATATTAGATATTGTTAGTTCAATGGTTACAAAAACTTCTATTTCACCAACTTTTTGCAACCTTGTGTTATAAAAGTTGATCTTAAACGAATTGAACTTTTCTTTGCACTTGAATTACGAATTAAAAATAAAAATAATTGAAGCTAAGTTTGAAATAAATGAATTTTATATAAATTGGATGGAAAAATTAATTAATTTTGAATATTAGCCAATTAACTAATCAATTTGATCCTTTGTAAATGTATTACATATGAGTCATTTTATCATTCAAGACGCTTTAACAGACGTCTAACTACCTATTAAATTATCCATTATAAGAGATGTTGTGCATTTCAGAATTTGATTTAAGTAATTAGCAAAATATAATTTTTTTACCATCAGAAACATATTTTTTTTCGAATCCTGTTAATTTATAACAATCTGTTAAGTTTAATTGATAATAAGTAAAATTTCAGACAATCTGTTTTAGACGCAAGTAAATGTTGGCATAGACTACTGTGATCGACACAATCGCTGTCACAGCCCCTATAGTTATAGTCCTAGCATTCCAAAACATCATTATAAATCAAAAGCGTATCATCTAATGATAATTTGATTTTTCGAATGAAGAAATATTTGTAATGGACTTTGAGGTCCAAATTACGTACTACTTAAATAAATACCCAAGTATTTTGTCTCCACTGTTTGGTGTAGTTGTGCTCTGTTTATTGAGATAGACGAAAAGTTAGAATATTTAGTGGTGTATATTAGATGGACCGAATTGGATTCATTTGATATCATTTGGCTATTTTTCATCCATGGGTCAATATTGGAAAAGTACATCTACAGTTTTACCAATACTTTGCTTGGATTTTTACAAATGCATAGTCTGCGAATATGCCGATTACACCTTATTCAGTGAGTGGAAGCTCTACTGTATACAAGAGATAAGATAAGTGTTGGTCTTATTAAATTATTTTAATGTACGGCAGCATTATTTGTATTGGTATATTTTCTCTTAAGTTTATTGCTCTGCTGTCAACATTTATGGCCCATATTATTTTTTTGTACTGCACTTAGTTTCTAATGTTGATCTGTTAGTAATTAATAATTATTTTATTTTATACCTGGTGATATACCTGGTGATTGATGACCATTTGTAAAATAACAAGTAGAAAAACCTAAAAAAATACAATTAAACGCGTCGTTAAGGGTATGGGGCGTAAAAGAAGAATCTAACTTAGGAGCACGTAATCTGAAAATAACACAGAGGAAGAGTAGACCCGATATAAGATAATGCTAAATTGAAGAAGAAGAAAAATATGTAAAATAATTACTCACTTTTCTTGATATAGTGTAAGTCAGTGAATTTGATTAACCAATCTATAAGCAGTTATTTAGTAAAAATTGAATTGAACGAAATATTTTGTTAATTTTCATGTATTTTACTATCTGAAAAAATTCTCACCCATTTAAAAAATGCTCCCGTTATTATTTTATTTTATTAAACAAAAGGGGCTTTCGTTATATTGCATAGGAGAGTTATGTTGAATCAAATACAATATGTATATTTATCGCTGTAATGTAAATAACAGACTCTGTTATTTTTTAATGTATGTTACAACTTGCCTGCTAAAATCGCTTTTTAGCAAAAATTTGTCTGAAGATAAGATTTACACGGAAACAGTAAAATTCATTTATATCGCAACTTTAAGATGAACTGCTAATTTCGCGTGACGGAGTAATTTGAATAAAACAAATTACTACGAAAAATATTAGGACATAACCATTTAATAATTAAAGATACATTTCAAGAAGATACATATGTCATTGACATTGTAGTCAAGTCACATAGGAAAGTAAAAGTAAAACGTTTAAAATGAAAGAGAAGTATTAATTATTAAAGATGCATTAACATATATCTACAGTTTTTTAAGATAATATATGAAAAAGGTGCTATATTAAGCTTTTTCAAGAAAGTAATACAATATATGTGTGATGCAATAATCAATAAGTTGTTATCCTGTAAAACTATGGAATGCAACAGGAAAATATATGTTTAAAAAAATAAATCCAAATTATTAGAGGCACTCATCAGTATATAGAAAAAGAAATAAAATAAAATATAAAATATCAATCGATACTGAATTTAGTGTCTATTTTAAAATATATATTTAGCTAGCTAGTGTTAGATCGCTTTGATATACTTCGAGTCGAGTGCATGAAAATTTCAACAAAGACGGAAAATATTGAGCAAATTATTTGAAATATTTGCATTTATAGAATTTATTACATTGCCTATATTATAATGAAGGTGCGACAATAATTAAATAGTTCATTGAAGTTAATATACCAGAAAATATAATTATCAGCAAACAAACTAACATTTATGGTATTTATTTAAAAAAGTTGTAACTCTTGTGGTAGTGTTAATGTGAAGTACCGAATAGATTATGTGTCACGTTTTGTTTAAATTAATAAATTAATAAAATAAAATTAAAAAATTAAATTTAAAAATTACAATGGCTTTGTGAAGCGTTCAAAACTTCTAACGTTACATAAATTTATATATATTATAACAAAAAAGTATCTTTTTAATCCAAACGAAAGGCATTTGTCAGAACTGTCACTTATTAAAAACAAATTATTTTTACTTATTAATTATCAATATTAATTTAAATACTTTTCTCGTTACTTCATGTTTTTGTTACCTATTGTTATTATTATTTTTTCTATTTATATATTCATTTTTATTACTGTTTATAGATAGATAATAAGTGTTTGGAGGTATCGGTGACATGTATGGGAGTTTATCCATATAATAACTTACATCTAACAAAAAATATATTATTATGAAACATTGCTTCATTAGAATAATTTTAAAATTGAAAAACGTTTTGCTGTAGATATTTATTGATAATTTACAGATACCTGTATTTAGAGTTTATTAAATATCTGAACACTCAACCGAACTATATTAGAGATAACATAATATTCCACATACCTATATGAGATCTAATAAAATATTACATCTTATGTAGTTTTATGTTAGTATGATTACATTTAAAAAAAAAATATAAATTAATTTGCTTACATTTGTAGATGATTATATTACTAAAAAGTATTAACTAAATGCATTACATGTTGGTACTGAAATTAATATAGTTCGGCTGAATATAAGCGAGAATCGTGTGCATTCAATTAAAACTTAGCTTACTATTAGTATCATAACTAACTTTTACATATGTAGATATTATAATTATTATTGGTAGGAATGCTGACAAAAAAGATTGTGATACCTTGCCTTATATGCAATTGTTTTTACCATTTACGTTGGGTTGGGTTTTCTTTGTTATCTTAAATATTTTATTTTATTTGTTTATATTTCAGTGTACAAATATTTTTATTGCAATTTTTATAACAAAAATGAAGCACGTAAAAGCGTTAAAAACTAGTGTTGCTATTATTTGCAAATAGTTGTCTTGTATAAATAAAGATATATGTAAAGATTTGAACTATAGGCACTTCAAAGGCTTAAACTGCACTCTTGAACAAAATAAAAAACTTTAAAAAACTTAATATTTTGAAATTTAAATGAGATTTATATACATATACACCATATTATGCATATATGACGAATGTGCTTACTGCTACTGACCTCAACGATACTGCATTTTAATGTTGACATGTTGACTAAAGCAAAACAATTTCCTTTCATTTGTTTACTTTTGTGTTATGCGTTCACTTCAAATACGTTTAAATAATATTTTTTAATTTAAAATAAAAGTGCTTTACTCTTAGATACTTTTTGACTAAATCGTTTCGTTATTTTCACGCGAATATAAACTTTAGTTGCAATCCTATCCTCGGCCGTTAAACATTACAGTAGAAGCGTGTAAATTGGACGATTCGTTCAATAATTTTACTTGGAAAAATACAAAAAAGGATATAGAAGTTGTTTTTTTCATGTGTAAAAATAAAATAAATTTATTATATTTATAATGCATACTCATTGAATATTTAAACAAAAAACGTGATACTTTCGCTTCTGTACAAGAAAGTTTAAAAAAAGCCTTCTGCAAATGTATCTTTCATATCAATTTCAAATAGATAAAAATATATAAATTAATGCATAATATATAATGCTAAATTTAGTTTTATAATAAAATATTATTATTAATAACAAAATAAATATAATAATTTGTGCGAATAAACATATAAAATTAAACATTTTTTATTATTAAAGTAAAGTTTTTATATTTTATAATTTATAATTTAATATCAAACTTTAAAAAATAAATATCTAATAAATGAACAATCAATAAATTATTAAAAAAAATAGAAGTTTTAGTGTTAATATAAGCTATAAGTTTAATAAAAGGATAACAATTTTTTTTCAATAACAAATATCGGTAAGTTAATAATAAATAGAAAATAATTTATTTTCAACATATAAAAAATTAATAAAACATTAAGGTATAAAGACAGTGTTTTTTTTCTGTAATAGCATAGCGATCCTCAGGGACATAGAACTTATTTTATAATTTTTCTGGGTTTAAAGTTTCGGATATTCATTTTCTTCAAGTTATTTTAAACTGCTTATAAACAAATTTTTTTGATCGTCTTCTAAGTCGGAATCAGCTTTTAGAAAATTCTTGGTCATTAATTAAAAAATTTTGTAATATACATATATATGTATGTACCTGTGTAAGTGCTTACAATTGTTTCTTATAATATTAGTTTATATAATTGAAGTTGAAAAAATCATATTGATATTGATTTTAATGAATTTCTGCATCTTCTTAAAGTGTTTTTTAAAAATAGTTCTATAAGGTTCTAAGATTTATGATGTTAGCGACAATGAATTTTTTGGACCCTACAAGCCTTACATAATTATACTGTTGGATATAATATAGTTTAACTATATTAATTGAATTGTAAATTTTATAAAACATATGATGTTATTAAAAATCATAAGATATTATTAATATTATGAAATGGGAATTTTCACTATGATCTGGGAAACCATTGTGCTGAGGGGGCACAATGGACTTGGAATATTTCCCCAAGTGAAATTTACTTCATAAATTAGTAATTTATGTAACCTACATTACAGAGTTACATTTTTTCGTCTGATAGAAGATCTCATTTCGTCTCCTACCCTATCTACAAGATATTCAGGAATAAGTTTATAGTTCTGTAAGGTGATAATTTGTCGCACAGTGCTCTGCCAACATTTCTCTAATTAGATGCCACTTATTCCTCTTAACATAACGACTTATTTTGAGGAATTCAAAATTTTTATAGCAATTCTTTTTTCTAGAAAACTTTATTTAATGCAATAAAAGAAAAATCCGTGGGTTCTTTTGTGTCGCAGTTATAGATTTATTTTCAGTGCGACTTATGATTATTTTAAGTGACTATCTTAACTTTTCGTATTCGTGTTTTAAGATTTATAACACCAAACGTGTTAAGAATTGATTTAATGTTATCATAAATTAATAAGTGTACACTGGTGTAGTTTGCAATAGAATGCACTATTGCAATGGAGCGCCAGTACACTTTGTGATAATGACAATAGTGTGGGTACGGGTTTCGATTGTCTTCGTCAGTATTCTTAATTCCCAGGTGTTGCATTATATACATAAAATCACTTTTCTATTATATTATGTTATGTAAACACACAATTATGAACAATGGGTGAGTTCATTCTATGTCTTTTTTCATAAGTCGAGATGTAATTTCTCCGATTCTTTTATATGTAACCATACGTTTATGTAACGTACTTATTTTAGTACATATGTATATGTTACTGTTTTTCTCAGAACTATAGTGACGTAAGTAAGTATGTAAGCAGTTTGTAAAATATATAAACGTCAAAGAAAAACGAACTTCATACTATTATTAATTGAATAAAATTTTAAAATCAATAAAAAACAAATTTTACTTTTGTGTTATATTTTCCATAGTCATTAAAAATTTATTGCTTGGCGTAGATAATAATATACCTATATAGTATCTACTTTGCTACTAAACGTAAACACCAACCTAAAACTACATCCAGAACACACCACCTGCATAACTGATAAACGACCACATAAAATCAAAATTATGTCAGAATGATAAATTTAAACTTTAAAATACACTTTTTAAAATAAAATTAATTTTTCGTTTGTTATCAGACACGAATTTATCAAACATATTGACTAATTCCCAGACAAATCAAACTGAACTTTGATTAGAAATTATCTTAAGAGTGTTTTTATCGACTTTATAATAAAAGTTATAAAGGCATAATAAAGTTTTTTATAAATATAATATAGTATAATATAATATAGTATAATATTTATAATATAATATATAGTATATAAAAAACAGCTCCATTAACCTGAATACCTTTAATATTATAGTGTTTGTTTAATATATATAAGGCACACTTTGTTATAAAGGATAATGATCATTCGTAGGAGGTTACTTTTTAAAATAAAATGAAACTAGAGCAACTGTTATGCAAATATCAATAAGACTAAATTTTTTTCTTTTTAATTTAATTAGTGCTATTAGTATTCATAATATTAAATTAATACTGTGAAATTATTAAATAGTTTCTTAAAATGAATATTTGTAATATTTTAAATTTCGATAAATAACAAACATTATTGCTACAGTTAAAAACATAATAACCAGCAATTATAAACAAACTAGATATTATATGTTATCTAGATCAATAGGTAATACAATTATATTACCCCTTTAACTACTAATACTTATCTAAATTACATACCATTTTTTACATGCCTTTAACTGTCCACTCAGTGTAATCACTCATTGGCACTCATTTCTTTAATACTCAAAATTATGTGTCAGACTACATTTCCACCACTTTAGGCTCAATGACACACATGTAATGTCATATGCATGTATGTTAATATACAGTTGTTTCGAGCACATGGTATTTAATTTTTAACTCCGTGGGTCAAAAATAAACATGTAACATGCGCTGCTAGTGGTAAACACTCCCTTCACGATATGACACAATATGCCGGCATTGTTTATGATATAAAGCGCATGCTTGATGTTTGCACTCCATGAGTGTATGAATGAATTTTAGCAACTTGAGCATTTCGTTCGAGTGAGTTTCGGCATTGAGTACAAATATCCTAAAATATTCATACTGAATATCTGCTGGATCCTTCTGTCCAAACCAAATATTACTTAAAAGGATTTATACCTAACAATCGTTTTGATTTTTAAGGATAACAAGAGAGTTATCCAAATTTTAATTCTGAAAGTTAATGTAAATAAAACAGATTTACAATTGAGATTTTGACCAAATATATTATTTAGACCTTGTTATGATGAAATATTTCGAAATACAATATCATTCAAATATTATCACGACTTATTGACAACAGCTAGTCCATAACTTGATGTATATTCGTCTTCAAAAAGTTGATGATTTTATGATTCTACACCTTCGCACTATAATAAGGTAAGACGTTTTGGAAATTTCTTGCATAACATAGTCAAAACAGAAGGTGTTACGTAGCTTGTTATATAAAGACACCATATTATTGACACCACATATCTTCCATACTCATATCTTTAATTTCTCATCACACAAATTGGAAATCATATGGTTGTAGCGATTAGACTTTAGCAATTGATGGTTTGTCTCACTTTGGTCATTGTGAAGAAAATACGAGTCTAGCACACTTCCAGACTAATTCGCCCACCATAAAGTGATTGTTTATATATACAATAAATATGTAGGAAAATAAATTCCTACCGATGTAGTAGAAAAGATAGAAATTTGAAAATTGTGATAAGATTTTGTGTATAACATAAAAAAAAGAGGGTAAAATTTGTACAACATAGTCTTAAACCAGTAAAGTGTGTTTAGTAACCTCCATGAACAATTTCAAAATTAAATAGATTTCCGCATAGTATTTGTAATATATAATATAGTAGTAATCTGATTCGTCAACAGAGTCTGATTCTGGGTTTATCACAACTGATTTTTTTAGAAGTCTGAGCTGGAACAGCTGTCATCACTTTAAGATTGTATAATATAATAGAGGACATAAACAATTAAAACCAGATAATTTCATCTATAATGCTTTTGTGGTCTAAATGGTTAAGCCTTTCCATTCAAATATCGATATTATCAAATTCTATTTATTAGATTTAATGATTTCTTATATAAATATTAGTCAGAGTCATATTTATTCTATTTATTAGATTTTTTGAGATATTTTTATTGACTTCTCATACATAAATATTAAAAGACTCTGAGCTTCAAATTTGACGGGGTAGAAGTATAATCCTTGTTACTTGCGGCCCAAAAATATTACTGACAAATAATTAAATATTAGAAGTATTTCCAAAATGAGCAATACTTGAAATAGCTGTATGATCAGTCAAAAATTCTATTAAAAGTAATTTTCTTTGCAGTAATTGAGAACAAAATTTGAATTCTTGAAAAATGACTACTGGTAAAAGTCGTACTTTAAATGACTCATTCAGGTTGTCCACGTGGGTAAATGGAACACATTTATTATCACATTATTTTCTCACTAAATGATATTTTATTTAATTATATTCATAGTGCAGTGTGATTTAAATAGCGGTATTATAGTTAATAATGTTAATACAAACGCTCGTTAACGTAACAATTTTTGTTTTTCTTTGAAACTGCAATTAAACATTTCGAATCATGCAGTAGTTTTATTGCCGTTCTTGATATTTCAAACCATGTTCCAACATGTTTGTTTCACTGCAACTGCTATGAACAGCACAGATCTCGCAATACCTACTCAATATAAAGGTAATTTTCTGTATTTACCAGAAAAGCCATAACTCTTATGAATCACGATAGTCTGACACGTCTCTAGCTGAAAACTCTTCTAATTTAAATATTCCAATATTATTTCCAGCAATTCTCGGTTTCACTTCGCTTGCTGCTTGCAAATATCGGGTTGCATCACTAGTTCAAGATCATTATCTCTAGCTCTAGCCAATGCATATCAATAAACCGATAAATAGTAATAATAAAATAGCAATTGGACAACTTATTCCCACATTTTCTTCTGACGTTAGTCATTTAATTGCAATGTGAAAACCCCCGGGTAAATGCATTTTTTTCCACATCAAGCGCGAATAATCAGGCGGTACGTTGCAGTTTTAAAAATTCAGTTGGCACACTTCTGTGTAAATATTTTCCACTCAATATTTCTGTCGGCGGAGCATTTTCTGAACTGAGCGTGTGAATATTCACTCAAATAATTTGTACACATGATAAATGTTTTCATTTAATTTAATGACAAACGCTCCCCCATTTTCAGATAATTCAGTTAGAGTAGAATTCGCGTCGAGTGTGCAGTGATTTGGTTCGTGAAGTGTGGAAGAGCATAAATACATAAGAATTCGTTGACACACTTTCAGTATTAAAAATAATCTAAGAATTAGAACACACCAAAATTCCAAAATTAAATTTAATTAAACAAATCTAAGTAAGCTTTAGTTTTAGTGTAAAGCAAAATATTTGCAAATAGTGCGAGAGATATATTAAATTAAAAACCTAAAGTAGCCTTCCTAGCGAAAGGAATTCGGGGTGAAATAAAAAATCGATTTTAATTTGTGCATGCCTATTAAGTTACTCAAGTCTCTAGCTGGTGTAACTTTTAATGGTAAAACGTAAATAAATAAACAATTTAAAAAACAATTGCAAATAATTTTAGAACTTTATCTCAATATATCATTCACCGCAAATATGAATGATTGTATAAATAACTTTACGAGTACATCATCCACCACCCAATCGCCAACAAAAACAGTGACAGAAAGTGCAGAAAAAAGTACCGGTACCTCCAGGCAGTACAGTGGCGTCGACATATTAGATAAGCGCGCTATAAGGACAGTGGAAAGTGTCATACCTAAAAAGAGGTGAGTTTATGGTGTGTGGTGTATGGTGTGGTCACAAATTTAAATGTCAAGCATTATGTGTGTTGAATATTATTTTCTATGTTAACCATGCAGTGTTGATTTCTTAGCAAAAACTGTTTGAAAATATCTTCAATGGAAGATGTTCAGAAAGACCGTGTGCGAGTTCGAGTAAATTGATGGTAAATTGAGGGAAATAGCAAATTATGTCGATATGGCAGCGAATCTTGGTATTTAACAGAATTTCGAGTAGGGTAAATGCTTAATAAATAAATAAATAAATTAGAAAATTTTTAATTAAAAATAATAAATAAGTGCAATAAATACATAAATAAATATTTACTTAAGTGCAGTGCATTTCCTAATAAATTTCAATTCACTTTACCACAATTTTCTCGAACTTGTACACGGCCTAAATTACTTAAAAAGAACAGGAGTTTTGTGTATATTTCATGTGAATGCAGTAAAGTAGATTTAAAATATACTTAAGTTTATTATGTTCATTATATGTGCATAAATCTTAATAAATAAATAAACATATTTCAGTTCATGTATATGTGAACTTACATGTTTTTTACGAAATCAAAAATATTTTTAAACGTCATAAAGTTTTTCTTTTCTTAAATAACACATGTCTTGAATGTGTATATGAAAAATTGATCGTGTTTTTTTGATAAATTTTTGTTCTTTCGTTAAAATTAAAATTTTTTTCTGATTGTTTTAAGAAAGATTAGATAAAATTTTTACTTCTTTTCGTTAAGTCACTAAAAAATGGTGTAGATTTTTTTAAAATTTTAAGCGCCGATATTACAACTTTAATTTTGAGTGACTTTTTAGTGCACAATATCGAGCACTTAAGGGTTACTTACTTTAAGTAAGCATTGAAAACCTGGCCGAAAGTATTTTAAATGCAATAAAGAATTTATAAATACATTTGTTGTTAATGTTTTTAAATCAAATTCAATATGAAAACATAATATAATGCAATTTATTTTAATAAATCTTATTGTTGTCTATTTTTATACTAGTGTATATATATATTGCTTCAGTATTTCTTTAAATCCGAAATGACAGTTTCGGAGTGTATCTGTGTATAGTCAAAAAGAAAAATTATCTTTTGTAATTTAAAAGTGATTAAATTATTTTTGTACTCATGTTATATATAATATGTTAACTACTTATATTCTCAGGATAATTACTAATTACTAATAAATATAAATCCTAATTTTAGACAAGATGTTCTCAAATGGTACGGTTGGGGCTACAAGGATTCGCAATTTTATTTGGAAGATGATTTAATTTGTTTCAAAGGTGATAAGTAAGTAAAATAAAAATAAACTTTAAAACTTAATGTTTATAGTAAAGATAATAAAGCAACCACGTCTTGTTAATTGGTTTAAACGATATTATTAATAATGGTCATTATTGTGCTTTTCACTTCATATAAAATAATTATTTTAATATAAATAATAGTTCGCGTGTTTAGAACAGTAATCATTTCTGCACACTATGTCTATTGATTTAAGTAATAGGCTATTAAAGCACCCCGACCTAAAAGATCTATTGTGCGCTATGTCTATTGATAAAATAAAATGAATATTCCAGATGTACTTATTAGAGCATGTACTTTTTATAAATATAAACATTAATTTTACTATAAATAATCTTCTATTCATAGAATCTAATTATTTTGTAAACTTAAAAATTATTTAATATTTTTGTGTCAGACTATTAAGACATGTTATTTTATTATTGCAGATATCCACTAGAAGGATGCGCTTTGCCTTACTTTACCGATTGGGTGAGCAATAAATTTAATTTGAAAGTGAATGCCAATACCCCTTATCCAGAATTACCAAAAACCTTTCCTAAGCCCACCGTCAATAAGGAATTTTTAGAAGAACTCAAATCAACTGGAATATCACATTCACTTGAAGGTGAAGATAGACTTATACGCTGCCACGGTCAAACCCTGCATGATATATACTATTTATGGCACAATAATTATAAAAGGATACCTGATGTAGTCACTTGGCCACATGAACATATAGATGTCGAACGCTTAATAAATTTAGCACATAAACATAATGTTATGGTTATTCCTTATGGCGGTGGAACTTCAGTTTCGGGTTCTATAACATGCCCTCAAGATGAAGAACGCATGATTTGCGTACTAGATACATCTCAAATGAATCGTATGCTCTGGCTTAATAAGGACAATCTGACTGTGTGTTTTGAAGCTGGAATTGTAGGCCAAGATTTAGAGCGTGAACTACGAAAGCTTGGATTGACCGTTGGTCATGAACCAGATAGTTATGAGTTCTCAACACTTGGTGGCTGGGTAGCAACACGTGCATCCGGTATGAAAAAGAATGTGTATGGAAATATAGAAGATTTGATAGTACGTGTGCGCATGGTAACTCCTAAAGGAGTTTTGGAACGTGAATGCAGTGCACCACGTGTATCTTGTGGTCCAGATTTTAACCATGTTATTATGGGTTCAGAAGGCACACTTGGAGTGGTTACAGAAGTGGTGTTGAAGGTGCGTCCACTACCGCCAGTTAAACGATACGGTTCATTAGTTTTTGAAGATTTTGAATGCGGTGTGCAATTCATGCGTGAGGTGGCACGTCGGCGTTGTCAACCAGCTTCAGTGCGTTTAATGGATAATGAACAGTTTGTTATGGGGCAAACGTTGAAACCAGTCAAGGGCTGGTTTGGTGGTATGATTGACTCCTTTAAAAAGTTTTATGTTACCTCAATAAAGGGCTTAGACTTAAATAAAGTTTGTGCTGCCACGCTACTCTTTGAAGGAGAGTTGGAAGATGTGCAAAGACAAGAAGCACTCATCTGTGAAATTGCTAAACAGTATAAAGGTTTTCCGGCAGGTGGTCAAAATGGCGAACGGGGCTATATACTAACATTCGTGATTGCTTATATTCGGGTAAGTCAATCTTAATTGTTTTAATTACTTTGTGCATAATACTCTAATCGCTATCCTCTATATTTTTATAGGACTTTGCCTTAAAACAAGAAATCGTTGCTGAATCCTTTGAAACTTCTGTGCCATGGGATCGTTGTTACAGTTTATGTCGTAACGTCAAACGACGTGTTCAAATGGTAAGTTAAAGTGCAAAATCTTTTATGAAATATATGTACTGAATAGAATTCATTATTATCAGCAGATGTAGTATAGAACAATGTAATAATTTTTAATAATACTGTCATTTAAATGGATAGAAAAAGTTTTATTTATTTAAGGGACACAATTTCAAATATACAAATATCTGTATATTGTTTAATGTACTATAATAATATAGGTTTGTTTGTTCTTTACAGGAATGTCAGAATAAGAAAATTAACCACTTCATTGTATCCTGCCGAGTCACGCAAACCTATGATGCTGGTGCCTGCATTTATTTCTATTTCGCATTTAAACACACAGGCATAGCGAATCCCGTCGATGTTTTTGAATACATCGAAAGCAGAGCACGTGATGAAATACTTTCTTCAGGTGGCTCTATATCCCATCATCACGGTGTTGGAAAAATACGTCGACAGTGGTATCAGCAGACGGTTTCAAGTACTGGTTGTGATTTGTATTTAGCAGCGAAAAAACATTTGGACCCAAAGAACATCTTTGCTTTAGGAAATCTTTCGAAATTATGCGAAGGAACGTCAGAATACAGCAACGAAGCACTTATTGCGAATACGGGCGACATTAGTGACCTTACAAGCATCAAATCTAAGCTATAGAAAGATAGTTTATGTATAAATTAAATTCCTTTCTTAACAATGGTGTTCTTGTTTGCAATATTAAAAGTATTATATTTTCCTTTAACAATTTTCCTAATTAGTATTTAAGATACAAAACTTTAAATGTATTATTTTGTTACGTTGATTTCATTTAATGTCATATTGTCATTAATTTTTGGCATCTTATTAATCTAGTTAAAAAAAGACTTTCATATTTGTTTTAATGTTTCGTTGGTGACTGCAATTCTTGACTTGATTTATCTTTTATGATAATAGATTTAATTGAAATAGTATTTAGTATATTTAATTTAAGCTGCTGTAACTAAAAACCAAATTTAATTTTAAGCTTTGAATAAAAACCCAAGTTTTTTATAGAAATTATAAAATTTCGTATTATTTATTAAAAACTTGTATTCGATTATAGTAAAGAATAATAACTATATCTCAGTTTGATTATATAGTTAGAAAAAACACAATTCTCGGTAAAAAACTACGGTTGAAGTTTTTGACTTAAGAGCATATCAGTGTTTCTTTAGAAATTTGGATCCCTGGTTGCTATACAGATTTAAACTAGTCTTACTACAACTACGGGTACTGATTTAGGTAACATTATTTCCCAAGCATATATTATTACTGTATTGGTGATTACTCTGCTGTGCTGTAACAAATATTGTTTTTCAAATAGACAATACAATAAGTATGTATAACCAATCTTATACTATATTATATTATATTATAATTTATTAGTAAGCATCACCAATAAAGGGAATGGAACCACTTTTCTAAGTGCTATGTAGAGTAATGACTCATTTCATTCAAAATAATATCTTAAAATACCATGCGAATGAAGAAACTTAAAAACCGATTCATAGGCATAGAAAATATCGACATAGAAAATAGAAAAACTTACACTACTGCTTATTATAATCTAATAAAAAGTATTTGGGACTACATAATATACATTTGAGCCAGAACTATAAACTCTGATGATATTTCTATGGCGAGTTAGGCATATTGCTTTATAAGGTATGTCAATTCTCGGTGACTTGCTTCAAAGCAAAATATTACTGGAATTGGACTATATATTTATAATAAACTTGAAGTTGAATAGTTTAAAACTTTAATGAAGTTAAAGCGAAATGGCTTCAAAAAGAACTGCAATAAATCCATTATTCAAAAGCACTCCCTTACAAAATATGTTAGAATATAACTGAAATGATCCAGTGGTAAGTACAGTGAACTTTAGAATAAACATACTAGCTGCTTATTTTATTTTATATATCTAAAAGAATGTTATCGTCTCTTTACTTATTCGGATATTTAAAACCACTCTTTTTTTAATCCGAAAGCCGCACATAGGTCTGAAATCAAAGACGTGTTTATAAAAGAAAATATACTTAACAAACTATCTTAAAAAAATTTATGAGTAAAACAACTACACTTGCAATTTTAATAAATTGAACTTCTTGAGTACCTAATCATTTTGTAATGATTGTTGATATCAACTCTATGTCGTACCAGAAACTGACTTTAAGGGTGAATATCATTAAGTTGGTTAAAACTTTTCATAAATGATACTCGTTTGAATTCCTACAAAGAGATTTTATGAAATCTTAACAAAAGATGATTGCCAGTATTATATTTGATATTTGAATTTGATTAAGGTATAACTGAACAACGTCAATTCTATTAATATGCATCAGGAAGAAATGTCTCTTTGAGATGGTTAAATTAGATAGTATTGTAGGATTATCAATAACCTTAAATTGTGTTCAGATTATAAGATTTCTCCAGATATAGTACAATCGCTCTCGAAAGCTGTGGTCTATAACTACTTCTATTATGTGACGATAATAATTATTTGTGGTAATATAATTTATCTTAAACTATTCGGTAAAGAAACGGAACAGCAAAATGTTCTTTAAAATTTGACAGTTTTTCATTTATTCCGCATAACATTATGAATCTAAGTCTCTAGAAATTAGTCACTAATTTTTTAATATATTTTTGGTTAGAAAAACAGTGTTATTTATATTTTTTAGTACTGGTTTCACAAAAGTGGCTTGCATTCCTAGTCAACAAAGACTTTTTTGTTGTCATTCTCCAATTGTAGTATGCATCTTAAATTACAAGATACTGACGTACTTTATTTAAAATTATTTTAATTTCTTGTATGCTAACAAAGCTAACAACTTGACATATGAGCTTCAAAGTGAAATAATCCAGCTGCACCCTGGAGTCCCATCTTCTAGACTTTTTTGTTGGATAAACTTAACATAAAATCTGAACAACCGCAGTTGTTGGTAACAAGTCAGCAATAACAACATTCGATGCACGAACCAACAAAAACAACTTCAACAATTACTGGAAATTTTGTTGCATGCGATACTAATAATTTTCATACCCTACGCTTTTTCAAACTGAACTGACTGAACTTGTGATACTCTTCATACGATTCGTATAACTTAAACGAAAGAACAATGTATTATTATTGTTGATGTTTATTACACAACAACATGATGATAACATTGCAGTATGTACTTTATATAATAATATGCAAATATCTCCCAGTAGTGATGCCGATTGTCTTGAGCAACAGAATATTGAGATCAAATTTAGTTGGCAACAAATAGACGTCTTACATTTGCAACTTAACTAAGGCACTGGTAAGTTTCTAACTTGAACTTCTCTTTACTACTCATTATAACGAGGATTTGTGGACTCAAAACGGCTTTCTTAGCTAATTGAGGAAGATCTGATCCTCCCTCTACCACAAATAACTAACTAAAGCACTATTGTAGTGCACTTTTCTGTTTTGTTTGAAAGGTGCATTTAAGTCGTTTCGAATTAAATTAATTTATTTTAAAATTTAGATATATGTATATACACTTAAATGCACATACATATAGTATATATTCACTATACGAATGTGTGTTTCATATAATTTGTTGTAAAACTTCGTTAGATTAGTTACGGTTAGAATTGAGAAGAAGTTGTGAGACATATCTCAGATGACATTTAGTTGGTTAGGTTACCTCATACTTTATTAGTATTAACTAGTAGAATTCGGTTTATCTGAGGTCTATGGCCTGGGTTTCAATTACTTTATTCATATTAATGTGTTAATTAGAAAATACATATAATTGATTACCACCTATATACAAATATGAATTAAAGTGCAATACACACATATGTTAAAGGCTGTGCGAAAACTAAAGTAAATGAGAGTAAGAAGATTTGTTAATGATAAAATTAAAATGATTAACCACTTACTTATTTCATATGAGATGACATGTATTATTATAAAGTGTAATGAACACCAATGATGTCTTCATTTTTACAAAAAAATGAATTCAATATATTTAAGTTCCTTTATTGCTATTAGCAATATCACTAAAGAACTACTACAATAGAATAAAATAATTGAATAATAATTTATAAACTTTGTTAATAAAAATTTTCTAAAAACAATATAAGATGATACGAGTGCTTCATTAAAATAATAACGCCTACTAGTTCCAAAAAAATAGTTGTACTCCAATGAAGTCAGTATTCTTTGCTTACCCAACCTTTAGTTATGTAGAAGATTTTATCTCAAATCTCATCTTGTTTATACAATAGCTCAGCTACGATGGTGGCATAAAGATCACGATTTTGTAATTTGCAAAATTTAATTCAGAATTTTTAAATAAAAAATATATAAAAAGGTGAAAGAATTAAAAAAGAAAAACGAAAAAAGAATTTAAGAAATGTTATAAATAATTAAAGCGTTAAGTTCAGATCGTAAAAAAGAAATGTATCCAATTAACCCGAGTAACCTCAGTAGTTGTGGGTCAGATTAATGCACGCAACTTTCAGGAGAGAAGCTTTAAAAACCTAGCAAAATACTTTTATTTAATAAATTCTGTTAACTATGAGAGGTTGTTAGAGAAATCTAAAATCTTTTCAGTATATACGAGTATACATGTAAGTACGCGAATACGAGCAACTGGCATTTTTAGTAAACCTCAAGACAAGATAGTTGTCGCGCTTTGCAAAGGACGCAGATTGTGTGTTTTAATTAAAAAGGTTTCAAATCTTGTCACTGCACTGCAGAACGCTGCAGTTTTATTATGGGTTTGCCAACAAAAACAGTTATAAACAACTGTTTTTTTTTTTATTTTTGGTACAATAAATTAAGAAGCTACAGGAGATTCTGTACTAGCGCTAAAAGTATTTGCATGCATATTTTTTTTCTATAAATGGCGTGTCTAATTTACGAGTATTGTTTATGAAGATTATAAAAACCCGTTTCAGAAGACAGCTATCATGATTGTCCAGGAACTTGAATTTTACCTTTGAAGTAGAAGAAGACATGTTGAGACAAATTTTCTGTTTGGTACTTAAAGGTACTCGCAAATGGCAGAATTAATCACTGTGCTCGATATCAATAATTTACAAAAATAATAAGGTAGGTTAGATCCACTTAGAATAATATTGAAAGTATTAAGAAAAAAATGAGTCTCTACATGAATTCAGTATTTTGTATACTTTAGCAATAGTCACGTATCAATATTAATTTCTTCATCATACTAATGCTTTATGCAGAGTTAAATGGTCCGTATAGATTAGTTTCATATTATTTATAGGTATGTCAAGTTGGTTGAACTTAACATTAGAGGCTTGTCGGTTAATTAATTATATCTCTAACAGAAATTAAAAAGAAAATATGTATATTATGTATGTTTGTAAAATAAAATAATTGAAAAAACCTCGTTCCAAGAACGTGGAAAAAAGGAAATCACCTTTACCTATTGTTTAAATTAAAAAACTTGTTTCTTTATTAAACGTAACTCTCGTAATTGTTGAATTAATTAAATTATTGACCAGAGTAAATATTTTGAAATTATTCAGAGTTTTGAGATAGTTTTAAATATCTGAAATACAGATCGCTTACAGCGTGCGCAATTTATCTCAAACAACTTTATAAGCCGCTCAAGATTTGAGTATTATTTTCCATATTAATTCCGATTTTTATTTTATTGAGTATATAAAAAATTGATATTTCCGAGTGATTCTCAAATCAATTGTATATGACCAAAAGTGTGCCATAAGCGAGTATATATCATTAGAATAATTATATAGTATAATTATATAATAATTATTATACTAACTAGAATTAGTATAATACTAAGTTCCTTTTACAAATCCAAACACGTATCTTATCTGTATACGTCATAGTTTCGTAAAAAAATTAATAAGCAAATGTTGAATTAACCGATGATTACCAATAATCTTTAAAATGACTTGTTTGTCTTTAACATTATATTCTTATATAAAAGTCATATTTATCTATTGAAATTGTATATATAAAAGCTTGAGTTAATATGAGATATGATTAAGATAATATTATTATTATTATGCTGGGCCTAGTTGAGTCGGTGCACTTGAGCATTTTTAGTCTCTATTAACTATGAGGTATGCTCATAACCCCTCTCTACTTCTTTAGACCAAGAAATAATTGACCTCAGATCTGCACACCTCGCCGAGGAGCCTGTAACCATTCTGAGATTTGATAACGTGGTGTTGGTAAGCCCGTCAGTTTGCGTAGATAATTTCAGGGCTCTATCCTTTATGTATTTTTGATTATGAACTAGTTTATAGTGAAAAAAAAAATTTTATGACATATATTGAAGTACGATATAGTACGGATTTGTTATTTTAAGTTAATTTATGTTGAGGTAAAGTTATATTTTCAACCGACTATAAAGTAAAATTTTTACTTAATTATATTAATGAACTGTATAATTTGTGAAAAAAAGTAAATCATCCCTCCATTCAGTCGTGTTTCAAATTTGTTACAAAATAAATAAAATATCTTCATATGCCTTTCATAGAACCTATAGCAGTTTAGAAACTTAAAACAAACGTTGTTGTAAAATATCAATAGTCTTTATGTGTGTTCGATTAAAATTAGTATTGTTAATCCAAGGATGGTACTGTAGATCTTATAGGTCACGACGTCAGATTGTCACTTACAACATCTTGTCTGAATTTATTTTAAATATATCAATGTTATTTTAAATATAAATGAGTTCTTAAAGTTCATGTAAATTAAACTTGTGATTTGAGAATCGACAAAAAAAAAAACAAATTATTAATTAAAAATTTAAATTAAGAAATTACAATCTTTGTTTTGTGCTTCATACTTAATTATTTAAACAAAAAATTAGTTATATTTATATTTTACACTAAAAGACTTTTTATCTATCTAAGAGATTAAGAGACAGATATCATTTTCAATTACAATTTAACACCCACAAATGTACTTGTGATTTTTTTTATTTTGTGGAACTTTCCTTCAGAGTAGAATGGGTTTTAACAAAAATGTCAATTGACTGCGCAGACGTAGCAGTAATTAATCGCAGACAAAAGCATATGCAGTCACTATAATGAGTGTTGAAACTATCAAATTACATATCTCATATAAAAATGTTCAGGGAAGTAGTGGGGGTATATGAGGTTGGGACACGCAGTCTCCGCAAAATACTCTAAGTATTAAGCCACGTTGTGAAATTGTTTATAAATGGGGTTTTCTTACTACACTATGTTACGTGCATCTCAACTGAGAGAAAGACATTTTTAATACAAAAATGAAGATGTTTTCCCTGAATAAAAATCAAAGTCAAGCACGAATATTCTGTTGATAAATTGTGTTTTTAAATTAATTTCAAATAATTAAAATTTTATTGCATCTTTAAAAACGTAAACGATATTTTTAGTTTAGGGAGACCTTGTAAATGGGAAATTTAACAAAGAGACGGAATTAATTTATTCAACTGCATTTGTCGGTGCACGTTAAGAAGATATAAAAATCTCGACTTAAGTTGAGTTTGAGCATTCGAGTTACATGAGACAATTTTTTTATGCGGAAAAAACTGACTACAATAAGAGGTATCAAGTTTTTTCGAAGAATATAAATCATTCACGATAAAGGCACGCTTTTGTTAGAATAAATTGCAAATAAAAAGCTTTACATTTAATCATTAAGCGAATATTTATATTTGAGAATAATTTTATATAATTTGTTGAACATTTTTTTACACTCTTATACAAAGCGTTTAATTTTCGAGGTAGATAGTAGTCCTGTTCTAGCGTCAAGACACACTTTTACAGAAATGTGGAATACATTTTTTTTTTACATAGTACTAAGTTTCACTATCGTCATTCACTATTTTGATTCTATTTTGATCTAGTCATGATAGTGTAAATTATAGTTAATAAAAAAGTTTATTATTCAGGAATTAAAACGCACAGCTATTCTGTTTAACAATCAGATCATGCAAATTGATTGATAATTGTGATTGGTGGAATTGTTTGGAGTTCTTCTCAGTGTATTAGAATGCATAATCATATTTATTTTTTAATATTTTAAAAATGTGTTAATTTCTTTGCCTATGCTGATAAAAGTGACAGTTGGCAATCGCGATGGAAATCTGTCACAGATTTCATCTATGTTGACACCGTTACAATTACAACTAGCAACAATGCAGTTGTATTGGAGATTGGACGAAGAATTACCATTGCAAATAGGAAAAAAACTCTGCTGCTATTTAGTATCAGGTCCTGTAATTGGTCAAGATCCTCAAGAAAGGGAGCTCCTAAATTATTGAGTCGCCGCCATGCATGAGCTGAGCGAAAACATAATAGATGAGAGGCACTCTTATCGTCTTCCCCACAGCTGCGACAGATTTGATTGAAAAGGAGACCTAATATTCTAGTATGGTTTCCTAGTTTACAGTGTCTTGTAAGTAAACTTACCAAAAGACCGATACCGATAACATAGTAGCTGAGAGGCACTCTCATCGTCTTCCCCACAGCTGCGACAGATTTCATTGAAAGGGAGATTTGTAAGTAATAGTTTACAGTGACTTGTAAGTAAACTTACTAAAAGACCGATATCTCTACGGGATATCTCAATGAGAATTTTGTATATTCTTTTATCGGAACTTGACCAGATTGCATACAGACGCCTGCATATCGTTGAGTTTTCCCAGCTTTTATTGTAAATTTCAGTACAGAAAGAACTCAGTAACAATTTGCATGAAATAATAATAATACATAATTAAAAAATTTGTTTAAAATTTTTTATATGTATGTTCTTAAACTGTGCATGTTGCTATTTGGTTAGCATCATTGCTTCGCAACATATTAAGACTATCAACAAATAAGTTCAAATTCATTGTTGCTGCAACAGTCTGCTTGTGTGAGCTATGAGAATATAAATTCACCACATTTCTGTTTAAAATATTGTAATAAAATGCGAAAACAAACACCGTAAAATGTAAATATGAAAACACAATTCAACACAGCAAATGTTGCGAAGCAAATACAAATACAACAACAACGCAGGAGGCAAAAGCAACTCAACACGACAAAATGTTTGTTTACCTTTGAAGAGACGAAGACGGCATCGCACAAAAGTAAACACAGAATCAACATTGAATTCAGTAGAAAACAGAAAATCGAGTGTGAAGTTTGGGTCTTGGCTTGCGTCGGTGAAGAAAATGCATTTTTGAAAAATGCGCAATTCATAGAACGTGTTTAGTATTTTGAAAATGGGAATGTAAACATGAATTAGGAATTTATAGAATTATAGAATTTTAACTAATTGGCAAGAAATATTAATAAAATTGCCCAAATTAAATACGGATTTAAAAAAAAAAAAAACAAAAAAATTAAGTGCCTACGCGTTTTGATCAAATTTAGTTCTGTTTGATGATAATTTGTTTATTTGGCGATCTTGCATTTTTTGGACAATAGCTGCTTTGTGAATTTAAAGTATCTGCAATTTTTTCTGTGGCTATTGTACGTGTACGTGTGTTTCGTGTATTGGAAAAAGTTGCTCCACCATTTTTGTATCTCAGAAATGTGTCCGCACTTTATATGCGATGCTGAGCATTTCTTTTGCAAGCAACTTTTTGCCGGCGTGTGTTGAACTGTTCAACGTTTCAGTTGTTACGGATGTGCGGTACTTGCAACACGTAGGATCGGTTTCGATATTGAAAAGTGGATAAGAAGTGCTTTCATCTTGGGCACGTCTTACGCATTTGCGTTACTGTTTTTTGTCGGTAATTTGCAGCTGTTGATTTGGGATTTCTGCTTCAAAGTGTGTCGAAAAAGGTGCGTGCGTATCTTTTGTCTAAATTTTGTTAAATTTTATCTCCACAAACATTACAAAAGGGCTGTAACGAAAAAAAAGACAGGTGTTAATGTTTGCAGTAGTATCAGTATCTTCCATATTATTGAAACATGTTAAATTTAATGTGGATTCGCTTAATAATATTGTATGGAATTAATGTTAAATGCGCACGGCTTAAAAGCATTTGTCAATTTACTCAGGTGTTGCAATTTGCATCTGTTATCTTCTAATTTGTATGCAATTCTATGTATAGAAAAAGTTTTCAAAATGCCAAGTGTTAAGTTTGATTTTTGTTTAAAGTGTGGCAAGAAAACAAACTGAGTTTCAAATTTATAAAAATAATTAATGAATAAAAACTAAAGAAATTTACAATATTAAAGTTAATAAAATAAGCTATGATATTTTGTGTGATATAAACACTATAAACAATTGTAACTAAAAAGTGTATATACAAATATATTTTTTTTTGTATGCAAATATTCATAAATTCAAGATCTTTGCTGACAAAACATTAATCATTTCGGATTTTGAAATGAAAAAAAGTCTCTAAATGCACAAAATTTAATTATTAAATTTTTATAGTGTTTTAAGGTAAATAGAACATAGGACTACAGTACATTAATGTTGCTGTAAATCTAACGAGACATTCTTATATTGAAAAAATATACCAAAAATCAGGTTCTGTTCAGTTTTAAATTTAGTATATCATTTAATATTTTCAACACGTAATTGTGTCAATATATTTTTAAATTTTCGTATTATAAATTTATTCCAAACACAGTTGCTACTCTTATTTTCTTAGCATATATTAATAAAATACAAAATTTTTAACTTACGCATAAACATTCAGTGTTATCCTAAAAAATGACTATATATAACTGAAGCTGTAGGTCTTGGTTGTCACTAAAACTGGTTTTTTACGTCTGGATACCTGTACATTTTGCTCTGCTACACTTTCACTGAAAGCTCATTATTGATTTTTTGTCATTAACTTAATATGTAAGGTGTTCTTATTCCATCAACACGTAATATTCCCACAAGAATGTTGAATGGCACTTTGTATAGCTGAGTGTTTCCGGGTTTAAGGCCGCTTCTGTAAGGTTTAAGACTAGAAATAATAGTGTATAAATAATAATTATCGATATTTGCCAAAGTTTGACTCAAAACATCACTTACACTCGCTTTCAGTATTATGATATCATTTTTAAAAGTTTTTATTACTTTTTACTTCATTTAACTGCAGTTCCTTGGAACTTTGGCCAAATATATGATCGCAATTGCATTTGTGATTGAATGAGATTACAGATATTACTATAAATAATGAAATATTTTTTGTTTTATAATCAACGTAAATAATTATAAAACTGATGTTACTCCAGTTTAAGTTCTCGGCAAACTAAGCATGAACTTGGTACCAAAATCCTTACGAAGACTACTATTTTTGCCATAAATAATGTAATATTAATTTTTTATAGAGAATTTTGACACATCTAAATCCTGAGAAAGTTACTCTTTTATGAAACATAAACCTTGTTTTAAAATCAGTTTAACAAAAATTGCTTTACGCTAACATTAGTGAACCTTTAAAGTAATTTAATAGATGTTATCTGTCTATAAAATGTGTTTCAAAAACACAACTTTTAAAAAATTTTAGTATTCGATTACTCATTTAAATAAATTTATTGTGTGTTGAAATTATCTATTTCCTTTCAATCTCTATCTATTCACATTACTAAATTATTACAAGTGTACTAATACTTTTTGAATTATATTTATATTTCGCAAGATTTTCAACATTTTTATTATTAATTTATTTTTTCTTTAAATTTATTTTCTTTGCAGAAATTTACCGTCATTGACATGCGCAACTAAATTGCAATCGGCGGAATTAACTGATTTAAAATGCAATACATAACGTACAATTGCTGTAGATACAAACACCATAGAGCGGCAAAAGACGTTAACAAAATGCTCGTCTGAATTTACAACAATAATCGGAATAACGTTAACAAAACGTTACAAGCATACTCAATACTAAATACGACATAAACATCATTATTACCTTAACTAAACACGAATGCAATTATCATAATAATCATTATCTGCGACTTGGATATTGTTGCCCAAAAGTATCTTCACTGCTTACCAAAATCTCCAGGGTAAAACGAAAATATTTTCTAGTGGCGCTAATTAAGCTCGTCCAAGTGCGGGCTTTCTATGGCAAAAAAAATTTGTTGCTTTCGGAATAAATTTCTTGAAAATTGTTTAAGCCTTTTAAGGCACAATCTGAAGTAGCCAAAAAAGATTAATTCACTTTTGAAATGTTTTCATAGTAAAAATGTGAAATTTTTCTTTTTTTCGGAAAGTGTGGACAGCAATCTACAAGCGCTTCGCTGAACTTTAGCAACATTTGACTTAACCCCAAGTGCAGTAGCGGTATTGATCTTCATCAGTTTCGGAAATAACCTCGGCAAGTGAACGGTCAGACTATTTCAGCAACTGCATTTGCAACATAAACTGCGACTACGAAGGCATTGAAAATATTTTTGCTTATTAGCATCTGAGGATACGAAACTCGAATTGGCCTGCACTGCAGAATTCCAAACAAAATGTGAGTAAATTTATGGGAATTTTTTATATTAGTGAATAAGTGAAATAGTTGCATTCGGGACTGTTCAAATAATACTGAATAATAATATCACAAAGTCAGAGAAGCTAATATTCAGTTGCTGAAATTACATTTAGAATTGTAGCGGCACGACCTTTTTAAATTTTTTTAAGTAGAAATATTTATAAAGAGAATTATTTACTTTGAGGTTCACTCATAATCGCTGATCACCGATTAAATGGCACAAAAAGTGGATGTGTATTTGCTACTGCTTTGTTGCTGCTGTTGAATGTTTTCCTATATGGACACACTACTTCCACTTCGTACAATGAAAGTGGTACGCTGGAATCTTCCATTTAAAATCTCTTCTAACACAGTTGAACTCATTATGCTGTATTCGATAAGTGGTCGTCTTTGGCTTACTTTTCCTGTGATACACATAATGGAAAGCGAACGAATCAAGTGTGCTTCTTTAAGCGAAAAATGTGATAAATGTGATAAAAATTGCCAATTTCGTGCAAGAATGTCCTCTTTTTGTAATGTATGCTGCTTTTGTCCTTATTTAATGGTTCACTTTGTCCACACAATATCACATGTACTTCTCATGCCATGTGGGTATTTGGGTCACAGCATGTCTTCAGAATGTACAAAAGAATTTTTGAAATTTTAATTGAACTAAAAATCATACAGAAGTCGAAGTCAGAAAAGAAATTAAAGACCTTTTCGGTGATGGTTAAAGGTGTGAAAGATTATTGATTCTTGATTTAAGTTGAAATGTTCTGGAAAAAGGAAAATAAGTTAATTGTGGTTGTGAAGAAAATTGGTTTAGGTGCAAAACTCACGTAGTGTGACTAATAAGCAGTAAGCAGAATTGAACAACTTCGTAATGTTCAGGTCCACAAAATATTAATAATATATATTACGACAACTGGTTCTAAGATTCTCTAATATCGAAAATGTTTAAAGGTTTCCCAAATTTTTTTTTTCTGCCGATTTTCCTATGTGCTTTCAATGTAGTTAATTGGCATTTCGATTATTTTTTAATTTTGTGATGCTGTTAGCTGGAAGTTTGTCCCTTGTTTATATGTGAGTTGGTGAGTGAAGTGAAGAATTTAAATTAGTAAAGCAATTCGTATGAAATCTGTTTAATTTACTGAATGATGTGAGGGATTATTGCATTTATTCTCTTATTGTTAATGTACAATTAATTTTGACTCCTTCAAACTAAAGTTTCTTCTGACTGTTTAAAGGCACAAACAGCAATATTCACACATATTATAATTCAGATTAAAAAGTTGTAATATATAAATCATTCAAAAATATTTCATTCTGAAGCAATTGTTACATTATTTATCTATAATCTAATTATATTTTATTAAAATTTTGACTTTCGACCAAGCCCATGTCGATTTATTAACAAGTTACCTGCACTCAAGGACGCATATGAAAGCAATATTGCCTGCATGGAGTTTTCGTAAGACACTGCGTTTGATATGTCATGTCAATATGCATTAAGACATGTCGGACATTTCCAGTATGTCGAAGCCAGAGGCAAATTGATCATTGCAGATAAGAATTTCTTGTAAACACATTTTTTAATGTTCGTATTAAGTTTTTAAAATTATTTATAGCATGTAAATGCTATTTCTTAACATATATCAGTTATGAAGATCAAAAAAAATATTTGTATATATGTAAACAGTGCATTGGTTCGATATAAAGATACTGATTATATGTCAATGTAAAGTAATATATGTATATACAATTCAATTTCTATTCGGATATATCATAAAGATGCTATATTGTCTACTATTGAGGGATTTCGCTTCATCGAGGGTATATGAAGGGTCATGATAATTATAATATAGTGATTGAAATATTACTTACATACTTACGGTAGTCCTCTTCTGCTCGTGATGCATAGGGTCTTCGAGGTTTTATTCATTTTGGCAATGTTTTGGTGTGAATTTAGCACCTCCATATTCGATGTGCCGGCTGCTACTTGAGCAAGGGAATTATCAGGACTTTAATAATTACCCCATAGACACAAATATCCATTTAGGTGTATTTTGATACTTAGACATTATTGTCAATGTTTGATGAGTGCAAAGACGTCAAATATATAAACACATATGTATAGCAAGCTGCTTGATTTAAGTACAGACAGCCGCTCCAGCCGCACCTAGCCTGGTAAAACAGACGTTGAAAAAGTTGTGGATTGCGGTTAGCTTCATTGCTCCTTCAAGATCTTATAGGTGAGATTGGCCCTACTAGTAGCTATGTTACTCCTGGCAGCGCTTGATAAATCAGCGCAACTATTATGCTTTCTTACTAGTTCAAGGTGACAATTCCTGAGGAGTTGTCATCTTGAAATAATACACCCACTAAAAGGCACACTATTCTCGAATCTTGATCGTTTGGATCAAAAAGCGGAAATATCGAAATATATATTAATTTATGATTTCTTTTGTAAGTGAACACAGTGTTTGAAAATTGATTGAAAAAATAAGCTTTACCCGAAAAATGTTAAAATTATCATAACTTAGGTCAATTAGGTTCAAATGAGAATCTAACCTGATGTACACTAAAACCATAAAGTACTTTTCATACAACTGTGTAATACATTGCCCGAAGTATGCGAAGAGAATTCAAACATCATTTGACCGACATTGTCTATACTACTCGTATATATGTTACCTTATATACTGAACTTTGTCTTTTCATTCCACAATTAACTATATGAATATAATTATTGCATTTATTCTGACGTTAATTTTTTTCTCTGTAATTAATATTATAAAAAAAAGTAAATAAAGATCTTGTAGAATTTTTTTTAAGATTTAAGTATTTATTTCACTTCTTTTTGTTGTGCTATATTTCCAGACCAATTGTAAAAAATGATATTATTAATGATAGCAATTAAAGTCCAATCTAGTCTTGATCTTATCTACCTAAAAGTGGTTACAATTCTAATATAACTTTGTACTGAAATATACGTTTTGAAATGAATCAGTTTCTATGGGGTTACTAGACTAAAAGATGTATAAAAATGTTGTATGAGATATGTATTGAATTGCTGCTTAGTAGTAAAAGGCTGAAGGCTAAAAATTGCATGTTTAAGTCGAATTGCTGATTTCAAGTTAAAATGAAGAAAAAAAACAAAAAAAAATTAGATAGAAAATGAAATAAAATAAAAATATGAAAAATAAATTACACGCAAGATTGGATACTGAAGTTGTGGTAAGATACAAATTTACCACATGTGGCTTGGTATGACTTTAAGCCAACTGATATTGGCAACTGGCAACTGGCAACTGTTTCCAACCAATCCAATCCTTAAATATATTTTAATGGCTTTTCTTTATGATTTCAATACTCACTGATTTACGATCACCGGCTGTGGCAATTAGTTCCTTCATTTCTCCTCATATATTATTGAATTATCGAAATCTTTTACATATTTTTTCATATTTTTCTTTTTATTTATCTTAAACTACTGGCCTGTAAGTAATTTGTCAGTTTTTACACCACAAGGCAAGATTTTGTTGACTTAATGGTTATGTTTTGACTCTGCCAACATCTTGCAAGGTAAACTGAAACCGCAGATACTCGTATATTAAATATTTTATTTAAGTGTAAAATGATTAATATTTGAGTTACTTAAAAAATGGATATTTATTTTTAAATTATTTTTTAAATATCCCAGGTTAAAGTATCATTAGTTAGTCACTTGATAAATAATTGAAATGTTTTAAAATATATATGGGCGATGAAGTCATATGTCAGAAGTGATATGGTACTGTTTTCAAAAATTGTACTCATAAATAAATTTATCCATTCAATCTACTTACAGTTAAGAACCTCTTGTTAAAGTATAGTACGACTATTATCATTATGGATTAACTCATAACAATTACAATGTTGTAAAAATGTAAAATAATTCTCTGAAGGCGCTGCACTGTCTGGTTATTATTTTCATGTAAGTTAATTGAGTATTTCAAAGCAGCATTGAACAGATTTCGTTGTCTATTATTAAAAAAATATTTGAAGTTATTACTTAAATGGCACCTATTAACCTTTGAGAGTTTATGTAATAAATAATAATAATGCAAGCCAAATGAATATGGAAAAAAAGTTAAGTAATTTGTGTAATTTTACTGGTTTCTAGTCACTCTAAGCAACTATTAGACAAATTATAATGATTTCTATCTACAACAACTTGTACGACAACTCCCCCTAGTATTGTGGATACGAACAGGGTCAAGCGTTGACATTTGCTGAATGAACTTGATTCTAAGATAAATGAAAACAATCGTTGAAAATGCATTGTACAAATTTGAGCTTGAATTTGTGTTAATTTTTTAGATACAAAAAAGATTTCATACACTCGTTAGTGCATTCATAAACGCTAATCAAAAATGCATCAAAATTGTGCCACAAAACGAGAAAAATATGATTTAATGTACATAAAAGTATCTAGAATCATTTGTATTTATAAATATTTAATTTTTTAAGATTTTATATTTGGTTTTAATAGTAGTGGTTGACATTAGTTAAGCTTTTCAATTCATTAAACATATGTCATTTTTAATAAAAAATAAATAAATAGTGATCAAGTGTTGCAACTTAATTTGCTTGTTTGTTGATTTTGTACGGATTTTAGAACATACAAATAGTAGAATAATATATTAAATACGAGTATCTGACTAAAATATTAAAGTTTTCAGAATCGAAAGTTGTTTATAAAAGAGAATGAGTGTATTAAATTCAAAGATTCCAAATTCAATTCCAAAGAATTTATATTAAAAGTTTCATATCGGTTAACTTGGATTATATCTGAGGTTGTAGTGATCGATTTACGCCTTGCGGTTCATAATATTCCTGTATTAAACTCGGAATGTTTGGAACTTTTTCAAATATTTAAAGAAGTATAAAATGTTCTTATAAGCCATGTACCGCAGTTATCTAAGAATTTGAAATAAATATTAAAAATAGATATAAAT